GCTCGTACCCCGTTGCGCAGCTTCACAATTCCAAGGGGGCGGGGGCAGGAACGGGACCACTGTGTCTGTGTTTGGGGGAGTCCACGTCGCGAGGACTCCTCAGGGCAGCGGCACAGCCTTCCCCAATGGGGGGACCTGCGCCCCACTGCAGGGCGAGGCCGCCTCCCCGGATCTAGGGTTCGGGCGAGACCCGCGCGGCGCAGGGGCCTGGACTTGCGCTCCGCCCTCACCCGCTGGGCGAGACTGTTGGAGCAGCACCTGCGGGCGGGCGGCTGCCGGCGCGGGTCCCACCTCGGTGCCCAGCAGGGCGGGCGGGCGTGGAGCAGGAATTGCACAGGAAGCGAATCCCGGGCTACACTGTAGCAAGCGCCTTGAGGAAGGCAGGGCGCTGCCACGTGGACGCTCAGGGTGTGCGGGCCGAGGTGAGGCACCTGCGCTGGGCGCGGGCGTCGAGGTTGAGGTGGGGGGAGGGGCGAGCACATTCTCCAGGCAGGTGACCCAGGAGGGACAGCCAGATGGCAGGAGCAGAGCCACGAGGCGCCACCGGCTCAGAAACGCTCAGGCAGCTTGGGGGTGCCCTGAGGCTGGGCTGGGGGTGCCCTGAGGCTGGGCTGCGGTGAGCTCGGCCTGGACGGAGACCTGGGAAACTTGTATCTGGCACATTAAAAGGCCCTGAGAAGGTCTGCAGTAAAGAAATGCGTGTAACTACATGTGTTTTGGCAGTTTCAACGTGTATCTAACACATCAGAAAACATGTATTGGTAGTTCACAGAACGCTGCAGTTCTAAGAAATGGAGATTCGGGTGTATTAGCAAAGGAGATTCTTAGCTCCAGAGGCTCGGAAAGCTCACACACAGAGAATCCCCGACTCTGGAATCTTCCGCAGGCCACAATGGTGGGTCTGGACAGCTCTGACTGCCACGCGGGACTTCCCTGGGCTGTGGGTGCCCACGGTTCTCGCCCATCAGCAGAGGGTGCAGGACACACCAGCCAAGTCCCTGCAGGTGAGAACAGTGACGGAGACAGATGAGAGCCTGGTTGTGTAAATCCGGTTAAAACTGAAATTTCTAGGTTGGAAGGTGCACCTAAAAGCCATTCCTCCCCTTTGGAAAGGGCGTCCTCCCGGAGAAGCCGACTGAGTGGACAGTGTGAGCGGGGAGCCTGCTCCTGGCCCCTTGGCCAGGACAACTGGACAGTGGTCGGGATTCTTCCTGTTCTGGGGAAGGAGGACACCTCTCCCTCTCTCTCTCTCTCTTTCTGTGTGTGTGTGTGTGTGTCTCTCTCTCTCACACACACACACACACACACACACACCCGCAGGCCCTGAGAATTCCAGGACCTCATTTTTGGTCACTGGAAGTGTACTGGTTTCTCAGGGCTGTCGTAACAGCTCACCACAAGCTTGGTGGGTTACAACAGTAGAAACGTATTCTGTTCTGGAGGCTAGACGTCGAAGTGTTGGTGGGCCACCCTTGCTCGGGAGGTTCTGGGGAGGGACCTGCGTGCCTCTCCCCAGCCTCTGGTGGCTGCAGTGACCCTCAGCACTCCTCGGCCGTCACGGTGTCCTCAGCCGTCGCGGTGTCGCTCGTCTGTCTGCACGGGGCCGTCCTCTGTTCTCACACAGACACGAGTCACAGACCAGCGGTTTCGCGTCAAAGTCTTCACTAATCACAGCTACAAGGACACTGTTCCCAAATAAAGTAATAACTTTGGCTTCAGAGGGAACATCAATTTTAAGGGGACGCCATTCAACCCCTGCAGGACAGCCCGCCATCCCAGCCGGACCGTGTCCTCCTCCACTCAGGACGACGTGTGTGTCCCTGAAAGGTTGTGGGGCGTCTTTTCTGGGCTGAGTTGGGCTCCATCCTGGTCCGCCTGAAGGTCCAGCTCAGGGGCCAGGATGCCCGGGCAGCCGAGACTCACCAGGTACTGCGGTCACTTTGTGCCCAGCCCCTGGCCGCACCTCCCAGACGCAGCCTCTCCGTGCACGGCCCACTGCTGGACAAGGTCAAGTTCAAGGACCGCACACTGCAGCTGACCGAGGGGCCGGCTGGGGGATCAGAGGGAAACGTGGGCCAGACCCAGGCTCCCTTCCACGTCCTCCGAGGGCGGAGGCAGATCCCTCCCGTCTTCACGGACTCAGACCGCCTCTGCCCTTCCCGGACCGAGCAGCGAGCTCGCACCCTGTGGCAGTCAGTCGGGTCCGGTCTCCACTTCACATCCTCAAGGCCGCAGCAGCGAGCTCGCACCCTGTGGCAGTCGGTCGGGTCCGGTCTCCACTTCACGTCCTCAAGGCCGCAGCAGCAGGAGGCTCCCAAGGGCCCATTTCCCCTGGGAGACCAGGGCCAAGTTGCTGGGGGGGGGGGGAGGGGAGGGAGGGGAGGAGGGTGGGCCTGGAGGCCAGTGCAAACCAAGGCAGCGTCCTTCCTGGACCTTCTCTGTGGTCCGCCCCCGCCCTCACCCACACACAGGCGGCCTCCCGCCCCGAGGCCACAGGCCGCCCGGTTGCAGTTCCTGCTCATCTCGGTTCCTAACGCCTGGGCCCTCAATGGTGGTGGAGATTTATTTGCTGAATTGAATCCAACCCGGGCTTCTGAGCAGCCCAAACCCTGAACAGAAGCAACACAGAGACCAGGAACCCGACGACCGGTGGCGGCGGTGGCCCCGCGGGGTGAGGAACGGCCGTCCCGCGGGCCTGGGAGCAAAGGCTGCCGTCTGCCGGCCGCGCGAGGGAAACGGAGCCACCCGGACGCGCAGGAGAGGAAGCGGCCACACCCAAGCCCTTGATCAAGGGACGGAGGACACGCTGGAGACCGTCAGCCCCCGATTCATCTGCTAGTCATTTAAAAGTGAGGACAGCCCTGGCCGTGTGGGTCAGTGGTTAGAGCTGGTCTGCACACCAGACAGTCTCAGGGTCAACTCCCAGTCAAGGGCACCCACTTGGGTTGCAGGTCGACCCCCAACACTGGGTGGGGCATGAATAGGAGGCAACCAATCGATGTGTCTCACCTCTTCTCTCCCTCTCCTTTCCACCCTCTCCCCAAAAATCAATGGGGAAAAAACATCCTCAGGTGAGGATGAACCAAAAGGAAAAAAAGTAAGGACAGAGACAAAGCAGCACCTCCAGGTCTGGGACGGAAGGAGCGCACCCCAAACCAGAGTCACCAAGGCCGCCGTGGACGGAGGGCAGCAGTGAGTAGGGGGAAGGTGGCCACAGTGAGTGGGGGGGAAGGTGGCCACAGTGAGTGGGGGGGGGAGGTGCCCACTGTGAGTGGGGGGGGAGGTGGCCACAGTGGGGGGGGGCAGGTGGCCACAGTGAGTGGGGGGGGAGGTGGCCACTGTGAGTGGGGGGGGAGGTGGCCACTGTGAGTGGGGGGGGAAGGTGGCCACAGTGAGTGGGGGGGGGAGGTGGCCACAGTGAGTGGGGGGAGGTGGCCACAGTGAGTGGGGGGGGGGTGGCCACAGTGAGTGGCCTGCACGCTGACTGAGCACTTGTGGGGAGGGGCCACGGCAAGGCTGTGGGACTGGCTTCTCCAGCTCCCTTTGGGCTGCCATCTGGAGAGCCCAGCAGTTCTCAGGGACCCCACTCCCCAAGCCCAGCTGCCTCCCTCCTACACCACCAGCACCAGTGCAGTCAGTTGAACATGGATTTGCATTTTAATCGAAACAAGTTTTTTCACACAAACTGTGTCGAGTCCGATCAATCGCCACCAGGCTCCCAAAGCAGCAGCCGCACTAGTGGGCGCCCCCCCCCCCCGCCGTCTGCCGTGTGGAATTCTCCCGCAGAGGCCGTCACAGGTGGGACCCTCGTGGTTTCACTGCAGTCACACACTGGTGCTGAGTGAATTCACGGGGGGCCAGAGGGCTCACCGACAGCACTGTCCCCCTAAAAGACGACACGTCCAGGCAGTAGAGTTGGGAGAGCCCAGCCGGTGTGGCTCAGTGGCTGAGCATCGACCCTGCACTAGGAGGCGCCGGTTCGATTCCCAGTCAGGGCACATGCACAGGCTGTGGGCCCGAACCCTGGTGGGGGCGTGCAGGAGGCGGCCGGCCCATCAATGTTCTTGCTCATCGATGTTTCTCTCCCTCTCGTTCCTCTTTAAAATGAATGAAGAAAAAATATTTAAAAAAAGAAGAGCTGGGAGGAGTATGAGGCGGGCAGAGGCCGCTCGGACACGCGTGGTGAAGAACAGTCCCGCCGCACCTGGCGTCCCGACACAGGCCTGGTCTCCTTGTGAGCAGTGACCACGCCATTCCGACCAGCTGGGCGGCAGCGCAGCTCTGGGCCGCGGCCAGTCTGCCAGCGGGTTCCCACCGAGCTGCCTGGTCCCGACGGCCGTTCCCATGACCAGGCGGTGCTTCCCACCTATTCCTCGGCCTCAAATCCAGAGCACATTCAGTTTTCAAAAGGCCCTACTATGGAATAGTTTTCTTCTTCTCTGCTTACTAAGACCAGCATTCTTTTTTCCTTTAACTAGTTGGTGGCTGAATAAATAAAGTATCTGAACCATCGTTACGTGATCAGTGACATAGGAGAACAGTGCTCGGCCAAGTGCACGGAGCCAGTCCCAGGACAAGGACAGGGCCCTGGGTTTCTTCCGGGACGTTCCGCAGCAGCGCTGGACCGGGAGCAGCATTCCTGGGGCCCGCCCTTCCCGTCCGCGGACCTCCGTTCCTCGTCTCGGGAGGCCGGTACAGGCTGTGCTTCCACCTAGAAATCTGACCCCCCGGTGGGGTACACCTGGGAGGGAGGCCCCGAGAATGCTGCTTCCCCGTCGCATCCGTAGAGGCCGCACACTGAGCCTGCTCTCGGGAATGCAGAGGCAGGCCAGCTCGGGTGCAGGCGTCCGGCCTGCTCTGTACTGCACCCCAGGACCCCACCGCCGGGTTCCCCGGGATACAGTGAGCGGCCTGGACGCGGGAGGGCAGCCGACCGACTGCGGGCAGCCAGCTCACACCCGGCACGAGCACAGCAGTGCAGAGCACACGGAGGCCTGGCGGATTCCTCTTTATTTACCGTTTCCGTAGCTACAGACATCAAGCTCTCAGCAGTAACAACAGTCACGTCTCACACTCGACCACAAAGAAGGAAAAGTGACACTCCAAGGCCTCGAAGAGGACGACGCCGCGACGTCACAGTCCGGATTCACACCATCAGACCCCCTGGAACCCCGCACACAGCTTCACATCCCCCTAGGAGCCATGAGCCCGAAACCACAATCAGCTGATGCTCACACAAGGGGACGGACGGCGGTGTCCAGGTCACAGGGCTGGGGCTCTGGGGTCGCGTCCCCGTGTGAGCACCTCACTCTGCCCCTTCTCAGTGACAGTGCACACGGGCTCCACAGACTTACTGTGGACTTTCAAACGTCTTTACATTTAACCGATGAGAAAAGTAATTAAGTACTTGAATTTTAAGTATAAAAACACAAAGTGTTCCCAGGACTCTTAAAGATCCCTCCCAGAGTATAAAACGCCCCCACGGTGAGAATCGGCGTGTCCACGTCTCTGAGAGCAGCCAGGATGACGTGCTCCGTGCCGCTGCGCAGGGAGCCGTGGACGCTGGAGAGGTGGCCCAAGGCTGGGCCACAGCCGGCCGACACGGCCTCACCGGCTGCGAGGCTGGCCTCCTGCACGTGCCCGCCTGTCACTCTTCAGTCAGGTCCTGCCGGGGGGGCTCCAGATCATCCAATAAATCTCTGCCGGCCGCTCCAGCTTTTGAAGCAAAAAGAACTGCTCCCTGTTTAAAACTGAGGCTCTTCAAACTTCGGGCATAATCAGCATAAATGGCAGAGGTGAGTCTCTGTAAACCACGGTTAAGGAGCAGGAGGCTGGCAAGGGCCGGGGACACTCCACCCAGGCTCCCCCAGGCGGGAGAGGGAGACCAGCCCCGCCCAGATGCTCAGGAGGGGCTAAGGGCCACTCCTGGCTTGGGAGAGACAATGTCTCCATCTGGGACATCACACTCAGCAGCAGCTGAGCCCAAAGCTTCTCCTTCTCTTAGAGACCCAACTAACACCCTCCCACACTCTCCCACGACCAAGCACAGCTCAGGGCTAAGGGGAGATGAGGGGAAATGTGCTCCCGCACCCCCGTGTCCCCTAAGGCCTGAGGGGCTGCAGCTGGGCAGATGCAGCATATAAGGCCCGACCCGCAGCGGGAGCTCGGAGAACCTGGGCCTTGGGGTCCGATGGCTCTGTTCACGGTGTTCTGTTCATAGAGGCCCCTGAGCCAGAGTCAGCTTGACCAGGGCCTAGATACGTGACCTTGGGTAAGCTTATGTCTGGCTTACTTTTCTGTACTAAAGACACACAGAGAACCAAGGGTCTGACCTGTAGGGATGAACCCACGATGCAGCCAGGACGTGTGACGGGAACAAGCAGGGTCTACACACAGAACACGCGGGAGACACTCCTCAAACCCCTTCTTTCAGAGGAAAACGGTCTCCACGGACACCCAGAGAGATGGACGCTCCTGGTCCTGGACGGGCCCGTGCTGCCCGCACACCTCTCTGCCCCACGTCACGTGGCCACCTCTCCGCCCCATGTCACGTGGCCACCTCTCCGCCCCATCACGTGGCCACCGCGGGTGCGCCTGCTCCGTGGATGGCCTTGCTCTGAAACAGGGCTACGTCACAGGGGCAGGCTCTGCACCTTTCCGGAATCACTTCTTCATCTTCTTTAGAAGTTCAAACAAGATACTGGAAAACCCGGGGTCCCTCCCTTTCCGGTCCCTCCTGCTCCCTGGGCTGCTGCGGCCTTGTCTCCACCCCCCACCCTCCTCCCCTGCCTCCCGCTCGGCTCTGATGAGTCAGACCAGGGGTCTCCCTCGATGCGACCCAGCTCCTGCCCCCGCAGCACGGCCGAGAGGAACTCGACCCCCCGCAGCACCAGCCCCTCAGCCCGGCACCGGAAAGGATATGGGAGTCGGCGCCGGCCCCCAGCACGCCGCACTGCAGACAGGCCTCCAGGAAGAGGGCGGCGCGGTCGAAGTACCTCATGCTGCTCGCAGAACAGAGGCAGAGTCAGGCCTGGTGACGCCGGCGGGGCAGACCCGGCCGAGGGCCAACCTGACACACATCCCCCTGGACCTACGCTGTGCGAGTCACAGCAGCCCCGTTCCAGTCCCGGCTGACAGGGGCAGGGGACACGAGGGTCCCCAACCCCAAACCCTCTTTTATTAATACTTAAAAAAACGAGGGACAGGTGACATACACCGAGATCGTCAGAAGGAGGACAGCGTGCCTGTGCCCGCTGCCCAGACTCGACCATGAGCCTTCCTTCCCCTATTTACCTCGGCCTCCCCCCTCGCTGCTCAGTGTCCCCTGGGAGGGCCTCCCTCTTCGGCACGAGCAGAGACGACATCTCACTTGCCACGCTCTGTGCCCTCCTGCTGCTCTCTGGCCTCCCCTCAAAGCTGAGCGGCACCTCTTCTCTAAGGGTCCCAGAGGCCCCACCCGACCTGGCCAGTGCACAGCAGAACCAGCACACACTCCAGGCACCGAGGACCACGCCCACCCAGCAGAGCCTCGGGAGTGCGTGAAGTGACGGGTCGTGGCCGCCGGGACCTGCCACGGCGCTCGGGACGTACCTGTGCAGAGTCTCGGCCACGCTGGAAAAGCAGCCCAGGGACAGGAGGACCAGGAGGGCCTTCGACTTCTGGTTGACTTGCGGAGAGCAGAGGTGGTCGACCCACCGCTTTAGGACATCAGCACACTCTTCAGAATTTAAACGGACCTGAGAACGATGCCACGTTAACAGAGACACCTGCACCGCATGTGCTAAGAGTCGCTGGAGACGGGGCCTGTCCTGTGACACACGCTGGGCTCCTCTGCGCTGACTACAGGAGGAGGGAGGCAGGGCCCACGGCACCTCTGGGTGGTCTCGGCTCAACCCAGCAGGGGAGGAGGCAGCTGCTTTAGTAACTGCTGCTGCCGTGCACACACCTTCCCGTAGCGGAAAGAGGAGGAGGAGGGGAGCTGCCAGGAAATGTCTGCAAAGTAGCTTTGTGGTCAAAAACACTTCTAAACCAGGAGTGAGGAGGTGCAGGCTGAACCGTCCACCCCAGACGACGGACGCCGACGGAACCGCCTACCTTTGCGAGCCACGCGGCCCGGCCCCACTCGCCGTAGGTCTGCAGGTAGCGGCAGGCGTCCGCGGCCTTGTCGATGAGGCAGAGCAGCTGGACGCCCTCTGGAAGACACGCCAGGCTGCCCTCTGACGCGCAGGCCGCGGCCCCGGCAGTCCCACCACCCCCGGCCTCGCCCAGTCCGTGCGGGGCGCCTCCTGGGGACACTTTGGACTGAGACTTGGCCGGAGAGCGTTGAGGAGAGTCCAGTGCGCCCTCCTGCCCCACAGGCAACGCGCATCTCGCAACCGCTCTCGCCACCTCGGTGCCCAGGCCTGTCCCGTCTGTGCCTCCCGTCCTGGCGTTTATTAAAAGTGTCCTTTGCACCGAAAGGTGTTCTGGTTTAGGTGACCCCTCACCGCCACCTCCTGCCGGAGGGGCCTGCCTCCCAGCACGCCCGCAGCTGGCCTTACCCGCCAACTTGCCGTTGGCGATCATGTTGGTGGCCACCAGCTTGATGGTGCTCTGGGAGGGGCCGGACGAGGGGGCGGTGGTGGCCAGGCAGGCTTTCAGCGCGTCGCAGTAGTAGTGCTGGTTGTCCGCGCTGGTCTCCAGCAGCAGCTGCACAGCTCTGTCTGTCTGGCAGGGACAGTGCTCATCATTCCCTCCAGCGACCCTTCACACGCACAGTCTGGACAGCAACTCACAGCTAAAGACCCTTGTTTTCAAACACGCCCGTGAGTGCTGCTTCCACACAGCACGGAACCCAAGCCCTGCCTCGCGTCCCCTGGGCAGCAGGCTCTCTGCACCAGTCGGTTCACAGACACCGAACACTGGCCAGGCCTCGTGGAGAATTGTGGGCGCCCAGATCACAGGCTGGTCCCCCACACATCGCTTTCTTAGAAGATTCGCTGGTCTCGTTTTGAGAGAACGTATAAATCTGTACTTATACTTTCAGAGAAACACCATGGTGCATGTCTGTGTGTGTGCGCATGCTTGTGCATGTGTGTTAGTGCAAGTTCATGTGCGCATGACAGACAGGCGATGCTCTGAAACACGGACCCACCAGCAACTCCATGTGCCCGGAAGAGGTATAAAAACTGACGTACTTGACCCAAGAGAAGCAGCTGGTCTGTGCATTTCCGTGTATGATCGTAAGTGGACCGTTTCACTTCCTGCAGATTAACCCTTTCCAGCTGAAATTTCTAGAGCAGGGAAAAAAGAGAAACGAGCCTGGATTACAAGACTTTTGAATTATTTAAATGTTCCTATACTTAGTAACTTCACTTGAACAAACATCGCTTTGACGCAGATGATTAACCGACGTGAGGGAGGCGCGAGAGTTGGGCTGGGCTGGGCCGATGTGTGCTGACCGCGCAGCTGCCCGCGCAGACGCGCTGTGCGCAATGGACGGAAGCCCAGCACATGCTGAACACACTACAGAATGAACATTATGAAGCTACCTTTTATGTACAAAATAGTAAATTCAAACCACGTGAAAGAAATACGTCACTTATAGAAAATAGAGAAAATTAAACCACCTAAGTAAAAGTTTTTAGGCAAAGAAAAACACGACACTTAACGCTAACATTTGCATGTGCGTTAAAGACTCAGCAAGCGTTTGTAACTCTTTCAGTCCGAGGTCAGGTCCCCGCGCAGACGTGGGGAGAGACTCATCCCTATCACGTGGGTCTCAGCCTGGTCCAAGTCTCCCGAGGTGGACAGACGCACAGACATACGTGACCAGGACGACGGGCTGCGGCCGCACTGCGCACCTGGAAGCAGGTGTTCTCACAGAGCACGTCGTGGCAGATGTCCAGGGGGCTGCTGGCTCTGTCCTGAGGAGCGGCCTCCGGCGCGGCGCTGCGGGCCCAGCTGTGCAGGTAGTGGGAAGCCACCGTCCAGAACTGCAGCTCCGACTCATCGCCGTACAGCCTGCGAAGGGCCCACAGCGTCCACTGAACCCATCCGCAGGCGGACGGGGCCTGGACGGGGCCCAAACACTGAGGCGCGTGCAGCTACGTGAGCGACATTTGGGGCCTGGCGCGGGAAGCAGCTGAAGGAGCAGGCTCTCCAGCCCTGTGCCTGGGGCTCGAACATCGCAGGGGCCTGACTGCAGGGGCCCAGCCCACACCTCCCGTCCTGTCAGGGCCAAGGCACCACCTGGTCTGCCACCTGCAGCCTCCCACCCCGAACCCAGCACCACGCAGAGGCGGCGGCTCCCTGGGCCCTGGCGAGCCGTGTGGATGAAGGGAAATGTCTCCACAGCGACAACTCTGCACAATGAGAGCACAGGTCACTGACCCTGAACACAGCTCACCCACAGGTTTGAGGACATGCCCTTTATGGCCGACATTTAAAAAGCTGTCTGTAGGAGGGAGTCTTTTCAATAGAGAAAAGGCACCTAGCTCTCACATGTAAATGTAATTTTTTTCTATTTGTGTTACACTTTTAAAATTAATTGTCACATTGAAGGATGAACTAACACATTTTTCTATCTAAAAGGTTTGGTGTTGACCTGGCCATTCTGGCTCAGTGGTTGGCACATCGGCCTGCGGACCAACAAGTCTCGGGTTCGATTCCGGTCAAGGGCACAAACCTCGGCTGCGGTTCATCCCCAGCCCTGTCAGGTCGTGTGGGAGGCAGCCAGTCCATGGGGCTCTATCACATCGATGTTTTTCTGTCTCTCTTTCTCCCTCCATCCCACTCTATCTGATAATAAGTAGAAAAATATCCTCAGGGGAGGAATAAAAAATAAAATAAATAAAAGGTTTGGTGTTAGCCCGGCCAGTGTGGCTCAGTGGTTGAGCATGGACCCTGCGCCAGGAGGTCAATGGTTCGATTCCCGGTCGGGACACATGCCCAGGTTGTGGTCCCAATCCCTAGCAGGGGGCGTGCAGGAGGCAGCCAGTCGATGTTCTCTCTCACTGATGTTTCTATCTCTCTCTCCCTCTCCCTTCCTCTCTCTCTAAAATCAATGAAGAAAAACAATTTGTTAAAAGGTGTGGTCTCAAAAACCCATAAGAGAAATGAATTAACCCGAAATTCTGTCTCTTACACACAGAATTCTTCACAGTGTTACCTTGAGACAAGCAGGCATCTCTGCAAGAGCGTGAACTCTGGATCGAGCAGCAGTTTCTTTATGTCGCTGCGGACAGGGATCCGGACAAAGACAAGAGGAAACATTTTAATTAAACAAAGAGCACGGAGAGGAGTCAGCATGTTCTAGAAAGAGGAACCCCACTCAGGTGCGCCTGGACGAACGCAGGCCGTGCCCTGACATCCCAAGGCTTCCGGGGCAGATGTGTGTCGGGCCTGGAGAGGGGGCCTGTCAGCCACACGGCGGCGAGGCTCTGACTGTGGCTGACGTTCCTGCGACAACTGAACTCACGATTCTGAAAACGCGATCGGCTGCCTCGCTACAGGAAGGAGACTGTCACAGACAGGCCGTCCCGCTGGGCACTGGGACAGTGCAGGCTGCGGAGATGCCGCACTCAGAATCCCTTCCCAATGGGCCCAAACTGAGCTGCTTCAGGAAGAGGGCCAGTGTCTGGGGCCTGACACAGCCAGACGTGGGACAGTCAACCACTGGGGTGAAGGGGAGGAGAGATGCTCTTTACATCTGTTCTTTTCCATTTAAACACAAATGTTTCTCTTTGAACAGAGAATAAAACAACGCGGTCATGTTAAATTTGGTACCAATAAACCATCCTGTCATGGCGAAATTATCAGGTATTATAATCAGGCGCGACAGACTCTGGATGCATGACGTGCACGTGTGGCCAAGAACTCCTGTGGACCCATGTTTCCTGCCTCCTCTGCCGTGCGATTCCTCATCCGCACGTCTCGATGCTCTTGGCTCAGGGAGCACACTCACCTCTGCCAGACCTGGGCATGGCCCTGGGCAGAGACCCTGCCTCCGCAGCAGGAGGCGGGACACATGGGTCGCCCATGAGTGTCCTGGGGCGAGGCGTGCGGGGGACCGGGGGTGGGGGCAGCTGAGCTGGAAGGACACTCGCACCCAGCTCTGTTTCTGCCCAGACAGATGCCCTGTCAGGGAAACTAGGAAGTGCCAGAGCCCACGGGGACACAGCCCCCTGCGGGAGGAACGGTCTCAAACTGCACCACCACCGTTTTCTCAGACGCAGCTTCTCTTCATTTCAAACAGCCTGAGTTAGTGTATTTTTCTTTCTCACATTCTTATCTCCTGATAAAACATAACTGGAGTGCTTACCTGGACAATGAATTCAACTGCTCTTGAAGGAGCTTCTTTATTTCTTCATTTTCTGGATAATCACTGTACAGAAAAGATTTCGAATGAGTTCATTATCTCTTCGCTGATAAAAGTTGTGTTAATTATAGACATGCGCTCTCTGTCCTTGGCTGAAAACATGGCTGTGGACCCAACACCGACACTGTCCTCAGGAACCCACCCACCGTCTCTACCGCCTGCCTCTGTCTTAGTCAAAACTAGGAAATGGTACAGAAGTCTCTCTGACTTTCAGGAAACAGGACACTCGTCAGCGGGCTCCAGACCCAGGCGCGGACTCGCGCTCATGAGGTCAGCGTGGCGGAGGTGAGCGCGACCCCTCCGCCGATGGACGCTCACCCCGCAGGCACTTCTTGGAGAACAGACACGTCTGCTACTTTCCAGTCTCCTAACGCTTGCGGCCTGCACACTCCACGTGGCCTCCGCCCAGCAACACTGCTAACAGCTGGCGAACATTTTCTGTGACGAGGCAGCTACTGAGTCGTGAACAGAGAGCACCTCTGAAGCAGGCCGTTCTCGGAGCTCCGCAGATTTAAGCCGGCCCCCAAATCGCCTCGACGGCCCTCTCCACGCGCAGCGCGCCACGTGCAGACAGGGAGCGAGCAGGCAGCAAGGGCAGCGCACACGCACAGCCCAGCTCACGACCGCTGACCCTCCCGTGTCTGCAGTCTCTCTCCGCCCGAGCCTGGAGTCCAGGCCACGGCTGCCTTCCCGGGGCCTCCCCACAGGACATCAGACGGGAGCAGTAGGGAAGCTTACACACAGGAGATGTCCAGAGAGTACTGTCCACCCCACGGCTGGTGCAGCAGGAAAGCTTTCAGGGCGAGGGCGGCTCTCGGGATGAGGAGATACGGGCACCACACGGGCTCTAGACAAAAAACAAGCTGTTTCAGGAAAGAAAGGGCTGTTATTCTGCTACGAAGCTTCAGCTGCAGCAGCCTGGTGGCAAGTGGACTGTGGAGACGGCAAGCACGATGCCAGCGCGCAGGAGCGGAGGGGGCTCCACTCTGACGGACGGACACGCCCCCCAAAGGCTCCGGGGTGCTGTGCACACAGCGAGGACCCTGCCTGAGTCAGGGCAGCAGCTCAGCAGGCGTCCAGAGCTCACTGCTGTGAAGGCTGAAGTCACGCTCCCCGGGGCCGCCTCACTCCGCGCGCCAACCCAAGCCTCGCGCTGCAGGGACAGGCGACTCCGACCAGGTGGGCTCTCGGGTCTCCCTGAGAAAGGGCCTTGGACAAGGCCCCGTCTTCCCCAGTCTGGGCCCTGGAACCCCCACAGGACACAGCCAGGCGTTTCCAGCTCCAGTGCAGAGAAGCAGAAGGACCAAAGACCCAGCACCAGACGGCCGGGATCCGCAGACTCCTGCCCTCAGACAGGCTCCCAGGGGTCCCTGGCCTCGACAAACGGCCTCACGGCCCCTCTCGCACCTGCAGAGCCTCGGACACAGGCTTCTACCTGAAGTTACAGACCTGCAATGGTGCTGCCTCATGCAGGTGGCCACGGACGTTCCACTGTGCTGTCCACTATGACAGCCTCTGGTCCCATGTGGCCAGTGGGCACTGGGAATACAGCTAGTACCCGAGAGAAATGAATTTTATCTTATTTAATTTGAATTAATTTGAATTTAAAAACTAATACTCAATTCAGTCACTGGATAACTTTGTAGAATATTTGGAAAAACTTGGATACAGGTTCTCAGTTGTAAATTTTATAAATCTAAATACAACGTAAGTATTTATGCTGAAAATCTGTCCTCTGCGCTTAGATTTGCTCTAAACTAAAATACACTGAGTTCTGAAGACCAAGTACTAAAAAATGTAAAGCATCTCATTCGTAATTTTAAATAATGCTTTTATGTTAAAATAATAAAATTCTGGATATGCTAGCTTAAATAAAAAAATTTTTTTTAAGTATTTTTTTCTTTATTGATTTTAGAGAGAGAGGAAGGGAGAGGGAGAGAGAGGCAGTAACATCAATGAGACAGAACATCAACTGGCTGCCTCCTGCACGCCCCCCACTGGGGATCAGGCCCACAACCTGGGCATGTGCCCTGACTGGGAATCGAACTGGCGACCTCTTGGTGCAGGGTCGACACTCAACCACTGAGCCACACTGGCTGGGCTTAAATAAAATTTTTATTAAAATCAATTTCATCTGTTTCTTTTTACCTTTTGTGTGTGAGCGTGTGTGTGTACAATGTGTGTGCATATGTGCGTGTGTATGCATGTGTGTTCATATGTGCATGTGTGTTCATATGTGCATGCATGTGCATTTTGTGTTGCCAGGAAATGTAGCAAATGTCCCAAACTACAAATTTTCATGTTTTCCTAACTTTCCTCATTTTTCCATCTCCAGGGTCTTGGCTCTTGGGCTCCAGCAGAGGGAGGGCAGACTGGACTGGAACTGTATGGGGACACCGGGATTTGGACAGTGCTCAGAGCTTTTGCCAAGTTGCGGCCACACAGGACGGTGGCCATCTTGCCCCTTCCCAGCTCTGGGGAGCTCTTTCTACCTTTTCAATGTGGCACCAGAAACCTAAACCGGCACATGTGCTCGTGTTGTTTCCGTGAGCGGCGGGTTCAGACCACCGCGGTCAATGCAGCGGTGTAGAGACTTAGATCGCAGATAAACGTTTCACATGGACTTTCCATTTCGAAGTTGGAAAGTGGTCAAGACGGTCTCTAAATCACTTTGATCACAACCAGAGTTTACTATTGATTTGGTAAAATTACCTGGACTGCAGTGCAGTCGGAAGTCCCGCACCTCCACACCCCGGGAGCGCCTTCCCCTCAGAGGCCCGTGGCGAGTCGAGGCCCGGCCTGCACGGGCTCGTCTGTCGGGTCTCCCTCGTCTCCTCTGCTCTACGACGGGCCTCCCACTTTGCTTCTGATCTTGTATGTTTTTGTTTTCAGAGTCAGTTGCCTTAGGAAATGGCCTACATTCTGATTGGTGTGTTTTCTGAGCCTCAGACTCAGGTGAAACATCTTTGGCAAGAACACCACGTGGGGATGGTGGATGCCCACTGCACCCCATCAGGAGCGTGCTGATGGGCCTCCTATGGACCAGTCCCTCTGGCCACCCTGTGAGGGGGAGGGGCTCACCCCCACTCTCTCTCAGGGCACCTCCTCTTCAGAATCAGTGACGTGGGGGAGATGCGATGGCCCAGGGACTCGACACCCACCGACAGCACTGCTGGAATCACCCGTCCAACCGGAGGCAGACGGCGCTTCTCCGACCCTGCCCTCCGGCCGCACCCCTCTCCCTGAGCATCACGACGACACGCATTTGTCAGTCAACGCCGACAGCCACACGGCCCTTCTTGCCAGCCGGGCCCACGCATGAGACGGCTTGTCCCTCACAGCCAGGGCTGCACACCTGAACTGTGGCTCATCTGACAGGTGAGAAAGGGTTTCTTAGTGTAGTTTTGTTTTATATTCTTCTTCGTATGAATCTAGTTGAGCATCTTTTCACGTGGTGAAGGACCATCTGTATCTCTCTTCCCCTGTGGACAACTGGTTAATGACTTCCAGGATTTCCACCAGGTTACCATTTGTATTTTGCTTTGCTTATAGTTTCTTTTGCTATAAAAGTTTAAAATTTTTCCATTGAGTCAAATTTATCTTTTCTCTTACACCTGTAAGAACGAGGCCTACCGACCACCGCGACCTGTGAGACAGCGCCCTGCAGGCAGGGGCGCTCTGCTCAGGCGCCTGCACCCAGCACCCAGCAGGCTCGGGCTGCCGCGTCGCCCCTTTCACGTCACTCGCAGCGGGGCTGCATCGAGTCACAGCTCGTTTGGAAACAGTAAGTACCAGGAACAGAAATTGACAATACAAATGAAACATGGACTATTCAAGGACTGTCTCCATCCGACATGGAAACAACTGAAGTTTTCTAATCAGGGGCAGATGGAGAGGCCCATGGGGCGCTCCGCCGTGTGAGCAAGGAGCATCTGTGAGGCCGGAGGAACCGAAAGACGTGTCTTCTCAGTAAACAGATCATCATTTCTCCAGAGCAACAGTCTCCCATGAGCGGGAACAAACTGAAGTGAACTCGCTCGCCTCCCGCCCTCACGGTGAGATCAGCATGACACGCAGACGACCCAATCACAGCTGGAGACTCTGCTCCGAGAGCCCGCCCACTCCTGGAAACGCATCAGTGGACAGGCACCTGCACCGCTGCCCTCAGACCGTCCTGCGGAGCCTGGGCTCAGCTACCCGACATGTGACAGAAACACATGCAGGCTGAGCTGCCCTGTGACGCGACACAGGAAACGGGCTGAAGGGCCAAGAAGAAAGGCAAGGGGAAGACTCCACCCTGGAGGGGCCACTATCCAGGGAAGCAGCGATCTGGGTGAGGGAGCACCCCACAGGGCAATTCTGTCCACGGGACTCCCGGAGGGGGGAAGGGAAACCGGGAACACCACTGGCGTTTTGGGTGGGACAGCTGTCCATCAGTCATCTGAACTCTCCACACACTGCACACGACTCGGAGCCCCTGGGCCCCACTCACAAGTCCTGACACACTTCCACAGGCCCTGGGGGAACCACTGTGAACGATGGAAACCGAGGCAGACGGCTGCCCAAAGCAGACTCTGCAAACGCTCAGACCATTCCGAGCTGAAGCTCCGCGCTGAGAGCCGGGATGCAACCTAACAGGTCTGGTGAACTCTCCTGGCCACAGCCGGACGCAGTGTGTGCCGAAGGGATGTCAGAGGACACGGGGCGCAGGAAGCCCTGCTCTCCCCTGTGCGGAGCAGAGCTGTCTCCACCCGAACGCATCTTGCGGGAATGGACACCGCACTTCCTTAGACAGAGCTGCCTTCATCGGAGTGACGGATGTGCTCCGTCTTCTCCTCCTTCCCTTCAAGTCCCACCGTACGTTACGTTTACTAAAGTATTGTTCATTCTGGCAAAAATCGATCTTGAAACAATCATACAGTAAAGGGTGAGACAGAACAATCATCTAACGGCCATTTAACACGAGTAAGACAGACATCAAAAGTCATAAAACTCAGAACACTTGCCAGAGTGATTTCAACAACATGTGCTGCAAAAATACGCTCATCCTGAAAAGCCAGCAGCACCTCTGCCCAGACTCAGGCCCCGATGAGTCTCCTGAATTCTGAGTCAGCCACTTCAGTGAATGAAAACTTCCAAGACCTTCTGAAACAGCACTCAGAAAAGAGTAAGAGGAGGCACCTGGCAAACTGGAGATGGGGAATGACCGACACCCGCAATTCCAAGCGTCTAGCTCTCAGAGGCACAAACAAGCCTTAATTTCTTCAAGTCAGACATCGGGGAGCAGGACTCTCCCCCAAAGCAAGCACCTGGCCCACCACAGAGCCAGGCTCCACAGCCTCCTGTCAGGACCCTACCGGTTAACTCCTGCTCGTCCATCCTGAAACACGTGGACTTCATGGACATCTCCAGGACTCGGATACACCCGTCGTCCGACGCCAAGATCACCTTGTCTGACGTACACCAGTCCACGTCCAGTATCCGGAAGGTCACATTTCTTCCGCTTCTTACACTGCTCACCATCTGAACCTTCAAGAGTGAGTGTGGTTGTCACTTTCAGGAAGAAAAGGAAGGTGCTCACAATTCTGATCAGTCAAAGGACGGCGCCCATGGCGGAGGCTCAGGGGGAGCTCAGAACTGAGCACGTGCAGACGGCCTCCAGAGGCCCGAGGAGAACGACAACGTTACCCGTCAGCTCGCGTCCCCTTTGGGGCAGAAACACCGTGAAAGTAGAATGTGCAGGCGGAGGACATCGTCTCAGGTCTGACAAACCCACCCCGCGGGCTCCACCCCAAAGGAGAAGGGCCACGTCCTCGCAGGGCGCACCCGCGGAGCTGGCCTACCTCTTTCGTGTCCCACACTTCAGCTCCGTCATTGTACATGGCTATTAACTTCTGGTTTCCTTTGCCAGGGGCGAAACGGATCTTCCTCACCCAGCTTCGGTGTGTAGGTATCCCTCTGACAACGAACAGAAACGAAACACCACGTGAAGCAGAGTGAGAGCTCATCGCTGGAAGCCGTCCGATGTCTCCTTCTACTTCACTTCCGACCAGGTCTGTGAGGGGAGACCACCGCCCCTCACCGCGGCTGGAGCAGCACCCCAGCACTGCTGTAGGGGCCCCTGCAGATCGCATGGTCCAGAGCTGGGCTCAAGGCCCGAGCCCTTCCTCCCAAGCTCAGTGACAAGACACCCACATCAAGAGGTTACTTTTTAAAAACCAAATAACAAGACCACATCCTTAATTCATACCTGGATACTCTGCCTTTCAAATCCCAGAAATTTAAGTTTCCATCCACATCTCCAAGAACTAACATGTCACCTTTCCACGCGATGCAAGTGACGCTGCCCATGCTTCCCTGGAACAGAACACAAGTCGCACACTCGCTGCTCACAGCCTGCCTAACAGGGCAGCACTTTCATTCAGTGACTGCGATAAAATATTAGACATTTTTAAACTTTTTGCAATGTGTTTATTTTTGTTACAGATGTTTCTCCTTTTCCCCGCCTTGGCACCCCCTCCCTCCCTCCCCCCAGCATTAGTATCCATGTCCATTGGTCAGGCATACATGCATGTAAGTTCCACGGTTTACCCCCATCCTCCTCTTCTAAAGTTTGTCAGTCTGTTCCCCGTTTCTGTTGTCTCTGGGTCTATTTTGTTCATTATTTCCACAAATAAGTGAGATCACGGGACATCTGTCTTTCTCTGGTTGGCTTGTTTCGCTTAGCATGATGATGCTCTCCAGGACCCTCCACAGACATATTTTGATAAAGCTTCATTGTAAATGGTCTGCTATATTATGAATGCAATCAAACGCTAACAGGCTTGGATGCTGAAGGAGCTACCTCGCATATCAATTCCAACTATGGAAAAACAGATGTCAACTGGAGGGACATGAAGCTGTCTGATTCAGAGAAGGGATGTCTGTGAAGGAATCAACGGTAACAAGGAACAGGAGCCCCTCACCGCGCGCTTGTCTCCGCTGCTCTCACTGCAAAAGGACACACGGATCTCACCAGGGAGAGGAAGCGGCTCTTCTGCTGGAGGGAGGAGCCAGGGCCTGGGTTCCATCCGCAGCAGTGAAGGCGGAGAGACACCGCCCTGCACTAGGTGCCTGCACAGCCTCATCCACAGGAAGCTTTGCAGAGAAGCTCCGCACAGGCGCAGGGTGAGGACCTGCTGCTGGCTAACTCTGCGGTGGGGGAGGGGTCTGCGGTGGGGGAGGGGTCTGCGGTGGGGGAGGGGTCTGCGGTGGGGGAGGGGCCCGCGGAGGCAACACTGTCACACACAGAGCCTGGGACAGAGCTCAGCCATCCCAACTGGGCTTGACTCCTAACTTCAGCACTGAATTTGTTGTGTGATTTGGGGCATGTTTACTTAATCTCTCTCTGTCTTGGATTTTATCATCAATAAAATAGGGTAAGCTCATGAAACTTGAAGAGTTTCCATTAGTATTAATAAACGTATACAAGTAAAGGCCTTAAAATAATGCTTACCACACACGAAAGAGTCAATACATGTTAGCTATTAAATTATATTATTGCTCAATTAGTTCTCCACTTATTGAAAAAGACCTTGTTTTTGCTTTTATAGAACCGTGTCAAGTCCACGTCTGGCCTCACGGCGCCCGGTGAGGAGCAGGAGCTCCGGGCTGTCGAGCCGACTGGCACACACACCAAGTGCTGCCTGGGGCCTCGCGGCAGCCAGGGAACAATGGAAACACTGGATTAAAAATGAGTATTTCATGTATTCCATAAAAAAAAAAATTAGAAAGTTGTGTGAAATAAACAGAATTCTGTATAGTATAAAGCAACACTCCAAGATCTTATTTCTGTCCTCCTGACATTAACACAGTGTTTAACTAGAAATTTGCCTTTAAATTTGCTTATTAGTCTTGAAAACTTTCACATTTTATAATCTTATTTTCAAACTACAAAAAATTAGAATATTAAAGCTTAAATTAACACAGAAATCAGTGCTTCCGCTTAGAATGACAGATGATGTACTAACACAACTGTGCAAGTCAACGTGCCAGACTATTCCACCCAAGTGTGCCGACCGGACGCAAGCCGCAGAGACACGGAGGTGCTTTCAGAGGATGGCCCCACCTTGTTTCGTGGCTCCAAATAACCCTGAGAATCAGCGTCAGACGGAAACTCAGCCGGATGCTGCCAGCGGACTCGACATGCTGCCCACGTGTGGGATGGGCCGTGTGGAGACCAGGGTCGGGCAGCAAGGTAGAGACAGTCACTCCGTCCGCCATTCCAGCGTGCTGAGCAGGGCAACTCCAGGCTCACCATGCGAATGTAATTTAAAACATGCCTAGCCTTCTCTTCTTGTTACCAGTTTTATATACTTTATAGTTAGGAAGCCAACTCAAAACAAATGTTTATTACCTTACATTTGAGAGGAAGGTAACATAAAAAATGAATTAAACCAGGAAACAAAACCTCTGCCTAACTTCTACATTACAGTCCCTAGAAATATTTTAATTACAGAAAATAATGATCCAAGACCAGTGCCTCTTCATCATGTAACAGACACTCAACTCTCTCCCCTATAAAGAATCTGCTCTGAAACACGCACAGATTTCACTGCAGGCCAGTTCCTATCACTATTCAGGCTGGTCATCTGAGGAGTGGTGTCCGGCTGTGGAATCAAAGGACCCAGCTGGCCGAAGAGCGACGTGCTGGTCTGACTTCAGAGCCCATTGAAGGAGTCAGAATCTAAAGAGCTGCAGGGTGCAATTACCCTGCAAGAAGCACTTCTAGAAAGGAAAACTCGTGTTGATGTCCAAAGATTTTAAACTTTTGTGAGTAGGAGGGGGAACTGGCATCTCACAAGTTCTGGATTCTTTCTACACTAATCTCACCAAGACTGATGAGAAGGGCACCGAGCACCTGCGAGTGATGCTAGAAGGCTGGGCTGGGGCCTGCCTGGGCTCTGGAGGGGCAGCCGACACGCAGGGCCAGGGGGCAGCTCTACACACCGGGCCAGGGGGCAGCCTACACGCAGGGGCAGGGGGCAGCCTACACACCGGGCCAGGGGGCAGCCTACACGCAGGGGCAGGGGGCAGCCTACACGCAGGGGCAGGGGGCAGCTCTACACACCGGGCCAGGGGGCAGCCGACACGCAGGGGCAGGGGGCAGCCGACACGCAGGGGCAGGGGGCAGCTCGACACACCGGGCCAGGGGGCAGCCGACACGCAGGGCCAGGGGGCAGCCGACACACCGGGCCAGGGGGCAGCCGACACGCAGGGCCAGGGGGCAGCCCTACACGCAGGGCCAGGGGGCAGCCTACACGCAGGGGCAGGGGGCAGCCGACACGCAGGGCCAGGGGGCAGCCGACACGCAGGGCCAGGGGGCAAGCTGACTTCCAAGGACAGCGGCTGCCACACAGCTCCCACGTCTGTGTCCCGAGCAGCAGTCTGCTCTCTGTGCACTCGGTCAGATTACTTTTCCTATTGTAACTGATACAACTAATATCAACCTTTCACATCTGCACTATTATTTTCAACCTTACAAACTAACGACGATTTTGAGCAACACTAGAGATAGCCGAGCAGACGACTCAAACCTGACTCGCTCTGTGTGGCAGCAACGACGGCACTGTGGTCTGAAGAGCCCTCCCGCACGTCCGTGCCCATGTCTACACGTCAGCGAGGAAGACGCGGTGACTGGCCCCTAGGAGGCCCCCACTGGTTCTGCCTGTTGGCACCATGTCCCTTGGCAGTCAGTCCCCACAGTGAACGGGCAGCCTGTGAACCAGCACATGTGGAGTGGCAGGGTGTGGCTCCCGAACGTGGGTCCTGAGGGACTCTGCAGCTCTGCACTGTCCTGAGCACTGACGCGGGAAGCCAGCCGCACTCGCGCCCGCTCAGGCAGCCCTCGGGAGGGGCCGCACGGGAACCAGGCCAGCATCACGTGAGCGAGCCGAGCAGTGGACCCTCCCCGCAGCCAGCGTCCGACTGGACCACAAGAGACCTCGAGCCACCTGAAACATGGGGCTGGCACTCGACGAGCAGATCCCATCTCTAGATGGCAACTTAAAAAATACGTATGTGTTTTAAGAAATCATCTCATGCCTCCGCTTAACCATGACAGCATATTCGTTAACTGAGACACGCTCTCCATCCACCCATTAGAAGTTACGGCCTGTGAGACATGCCCTGGTACACTGATCGCCTACGAAACCTGAGTGGGAGGGTTCCACAGGCCATGAGAAGGGTAAGTGTGACTCAGTAAATATTAACGACACAGTCACAACTCACAACCTGATCACTATGATCCAAAATGATGCTAGACTGTCAGTCAAAGGTTTCAGGGCAGTGCCTGACATGGAATGAGGACAGACGCCGGCGTCAGGGTGCCGAGTGGGAAGCCGCTGTGTCGCTAGGCTGGGTGGCCGGGGATAGACCCTCGTTCTCCCTCAGCCTGTCACAGATCAGATGGAAGTCGTTGCTCATGGACGGTCACAGGGATAAAGGTGAAGGGCATGTGTTTCACCAAAGTCACTGTCACGCTGCAGGACGGAGCAAGTCAATCAGTGACGACACCCCCTAAATGCTAACGTTGATTGACACTAAACTTCCCTGAAATGGCTTTCTGACTCAAGTGTGGTTTCCCTGGCTGTGGAGCCAACAAGGCCCTGACAGACCCCCCCACGGACACGCGCTCGGGCGGCACTCACGTCTGGTGGAATCCGAGCGCTGTCCTTCACCGAGTTCCCTTCGACAGTGAAGTGATAGACCTGGCCGTCACTGTCAGTGAACACAAAGTGTTCCCGGGCGGAGATGTTCTGACTGAGTTCGGATTTACTCTCTGCTTCCTGCAACAGGCTTCAGGACAGAAACAAGGTAAAGACGTTTCACTCCTGAGAATTGTACCCACAGCTGATCAACTCGCCCACAACACCGGTGCCGTGACAGAGATTCAGAGCCATCGCCAGGAAAAAGCTGGAGCCGGTCCCTGGAGAGCAGAGCCCACTCCACACAGCCGCCCCGAGACCACCCTCCCGCACAGCCACCCCGAGACCACCCTCCCGCACAGCCGCCCCGAGACCACCCTCCCGCACAGCCGCCCCGAGAGCACCCGCCCGCACAGCCGCCCCGAGAGCACCCGCCCGCACAGCCGCCCCGAGACCACCCGCCCACACAGCCGCCCCGAGAACACCCGCCCGCACAGACATGTGGTGACTCCAGGGTCCACGAGAAAACCCCCACTGTTCCTGCTACAGAACTCTCGTCCACGGAAGACAGGCCCCCCGGACCTATCCTTCTCTCGGACATTCTTTACTTGTAAAACTGGTGGGGATGGGGATGAAACCAACACATAAATTTAGGATTCTGAATCTATTTCCTTTGGTGTACATAAATGACATGATCTCTCTGTATGTTCAATGCTACCTTCGTGTGAATTTCAGAAGCCCAAGCTTATGGAACAGAATGAACGGTCCACTAATGGATGCTCCTGTCCAAGTTACTGACTGCGGGAAGCAAGCGCTAGCTGCGTGAGCTCGTAAGCGAGCTGGGTGCAGGTGCGTTCAGAAGAGTGCAGCTTGCTGCTAGAGACGGCTCTGGACGCCACTGTCAAGCCCCAACCATGCCACGGACGTCACCAACGGCCGTGGCAGGAGAGCACACTGCACCTGATCACGGACGACTCGGCGATGCTCAGCTCCGTGTCCGAGACCACGGTCTGGCGGGCCATGGCCTCCCGGGTGGCCAGCTGCTTCTTTCTCAGACTCTTCAGGTTATGAGACGGTGACCACTCCTGTGAAGCAGACAGACACACCCAGAAGTGCTCAGTTTCCTTCCATCAAAGGATCCTTCTAGAATAGGGGGCACTCACCGGTGCCAAGTGTGTGTCGTTTATTATTACTACAAGTGAATTTAAAATCTGTTCTTAGCATTCATCTATTTATAGAAAGGCTGAATAAATGCATTTTAATTATAGCTTAAAGTAGACTTTAATAATCTACCTCTACCTCCTGCTACCTCTAATCTTTAATTAGAGCTTAAGATAGAAGAATTTAATAGCAAACCTCCAAGAAGTCTAACCTTTTGATAGTTGTCTCTTTTTTACCAAATGAAAATAATAAATTCGATTAAGGTATCTCCTATTCCCAGGGTGAGATCCTCGTGTTCTCCGATCATTGCCCTTCTCACCCAGGGGTCCACCTGCGTCCAGCATTCAACGGAGCGTCCTCGCACAGGCACAATTTGACAGCAGGCATGTGCCTCGCACACACAGCCTGTCATCCGTCCCCTCCGTCTGACTCTACAGTATCTCTACTGCCCCTTCTCCGTTCCCTGCACACTATGTAACATTCCACATGAGCACCCCTCCTTTTCAGTCTGTTCTCCCAGCTAAGGCACCCACATCCCCTCAGACTCTCAGCAGGACAAGCGATGCTGGGTCAATGTCCTGACAAAGCTGCCCAGACGAGGGGCTGAGCAGCTACAGCTCAGATGCCTCAGCGCTGCAGGGGGCCTCCCGGGCTCCGCCCCTGCCAGCAGCACGAGGGTCCCCGCAGGCCACACCCACCCTTATCTGACGTGAGGGGCTGGTGCACATCGCACATCTCCAAACACGATGAGTCTGAATCCACCTTCATGGCGCATTGGCCTTCTAGGTTTCTCTGGCACTCACTGACTGACCACACCCTTGGTCCAACTCCCCACTGGGCTCCTGCCTTCTCCTCACCCATGCGCAGGAGTCCCCACAGTGCGAGTCCCCGAGAGGGCTGGTTAGCCCCACTGGTCTTAGGCACCGGGAGATTTCTTTCCGACTTGTCTTCCACACTCACCGTGGACTCTGGTGCCTCCACTGAACTGAGGACGCCCACGTGATGGAATTAACTCACTGACCTCCTTCCCTACTCTGCCTTGTGGGCTGACCTTCCGATGTCCTCTCCTGCCCCAAGAACACAAATATTCTTCTACACTTGACTATGTGACCTCACAGCTCCACTTTCCTACACTGAGGCCTGTGGTCCCGTGGAGCCCACCTCCGGGTGTCTGGGCCGAGACCCAGTGTGGTCCCCCATGTGCTGAGGCCCCCATGTGCTGAGGCAGGGTCTCAGTGCCCCTCACAGACAGTCCAGCCCTCCACCTGGGTGTCTGTCCCTTCACTGTGCAGTCCCCAAGCACCATGGGTCTGTGAGTGCACTTTCTATGACACTGGCCGACTTCCTGCGCCGGGCCAGCGCGGCGCTGCTCCGACCTCCTTCTGTGCTAAGTGGATCTGTCTGGCAGGACGGGCCCGGCGTCCTCCCCCACATGGCTCTTCTTCTTCTCAGGGTTCACTCAGCTTCACAAGCTTTAGTGCTAAACATTTAATATGTTTACCCTGTTCTTCAAAACATCTGAATAAAACCTGAATTGGAATTGCACTAATATAGTATTAGCTTAACACACCCAAGAATGAGTTATCTCCATTTATTTAGATCACCTTCTCTGAACAAACATTTTAACAAGAAAGTACACGGCAGTAATGATTTAAACTCAAGCTAAAGAAAAACATTCACCACATATATCTGTACCTAAATACACTGTTTAGTGCTTAAATGACAACTTACCAAAGCAGTTACTGTAGGGAAGTTTTTGGACATTTCTCTAAGAAGGGTACAAGTCCTAACGTCCCATAGCTCCAGGGGTTTATCTTTGAACACAACTGCCAAATACTGCCTAAAATAAACAAAATTACTAAATAAGACCCTTTTTTTGCAAAATTTTCACTATCCGTAGTACAAGTAAAAAGTTCAGTAAATCAAAAAAACTGAGATGACACGTTCTAAACAGACAATTTAAACCGACCTTGAGCCACGATTAACAGTCACAGCTCTGAAGGCTCCAAGGTGACCCTAGAGTCCTGTGCTCCCCCAGAAGCACGAGTCAGGACAGGCGACAGCTCACATCCTGGCTGCACCTCCTGTCCCCCCGGCTCAGCTTTCTCACAGGTGACGAGGGCACCGCTGCCGCCAGTGGACAGCCTGCGGCTCAGGGTCCACGTCACGTGGGAGCTGCCTGGGCCCCCGCTAGCCCACCCTCGGTGCCCCGAGGGCTGAGGCTCCCTGCTCAGGACCACGTCTGCTCGCGACAGTGGCGAGGTCTCGGACAGACACCTGAGCCTTCAGAATTCTGTCTGCTCATCTGTGAACTGTGTCAGAGCCTGTCCCCCCGCCTCACTGGATACACGAAGATGAAGGGACAGCAGGCATCCAGAGCATTTCAGGAGCCAGACGGACGGCACGTCGCTGTTTGCTAACACTCAGAAATCCTGACGGACTTCAGCACACTTTCTATGTTAAAGATGAAAAAGAATCCTTGAGCCCTGGCCGGTTTGGTTCAGCAGTTAGAGCGTCAGCCCGTGGACCGAAGAGTCGAGGGTTTGATTCCCGATCAGGGCACGTACCTCGGTTGCAGTTTCCACCCCCAGGAGACAGCCAATCTATGGGTCTCTCCCGTGTGAATGCTTTGCTCTCACCCCCTCCCTCCCACACTACCTGGAAAAAAATCCTCAGGTGAGGATTAAGAAAAAAAAGAAGAATCCTTGAGCTTCCAGTGAGGTAACACCATAGACTTGCTAGGTTGACACGTACTTCAGATGAGACACTTTGATCATCTCGATGGCCGGCTCGTCACCGCCTCGTTCACCTCGGAAGGCGATGCTCCTCCCTTCAGAGAAACAGCAAACAGAATTGAGCGAATGCGGGGGACAAGCAGCACCCGATGGAATGCGACTGCTGGGACCTGTCTCCCACTCAGTCTTCCATTTGCTTCTGTCTCCAATAATCAAATTCAAAAAGTATTCTCAATTAAAGAGCAGTAACATATTATTTATACTCTCAAATTCTACTTTATAAAAAGACATTTTCATTTGTTACAGTTTCCTGAATTTCTTCTGTTTCTTTCAAGTAATTTATTTTAGAATCTAGACACATCGTTCCTGAAGCTCGAATGCGTTCGTGGGGAAGCAGGGTCTCTGAGAGCCACTGGTGCATGGCCTCCATCAGCATGAACAGGCCCTGCTACAGACCCGATGAGCGGGGAGGGTTCTGACAGAGCAAGATTTCTGGTTCCATATACAAAACACTCAACTGAACTACTTTGACATCTTCCTACCAAAAGTTTTCTACAAACTAAAATTGGGGGAGGATAAGAATTAGTTAACTGCCAAAGAGCTGAATGATTTTCTCTAATTTAAAAAAATGCAAATTCCACCTGCGTTTGAACAAATATATCCTAATCTATTTTCCTAGGTTTTTATTTACATACTCAATTTTTAAAAATTGATTCATTTTTGTGAGCGTTTCTCCTTTTCCCCCTGGAAACCCTGCTCCCGAGAACACACTCAACTCGGAGACAACCGAGTGTCTGCAGGTCCCCTGCTCTTCGCGGCCTCAGTGGCCTCACCACTGCTGCTCGCCAAGTGCCCACCTCCTTTCCTGACCGCGAGGTCGGCTGCCACCTTAGAAGACAAGGCTATAAAAGCCCACAACCTATGGACCCCTGTCCCACTCAGACAAGTCAGCAACTCCTGTTCCTCAAAACAGGTCATGAAAGCAGAGGTCAGAACTCTACAGGCCTGGACTCGAGCTGACTAAGGAAGTGAGCAGGGCTTCCCTTCGGTCTGTGTTGTGCGCGGCCCCAGAAACACCGTCTCGCCCCTGGGCAACGAGAGACCAGGGCCAGCTTGCTGCAGACCAGGGCTCTGGGACAGAGGTCACCTCCAGTGAAACTAGACCACTCGTGTCTGAGGGCACAGCCGACTCGCCGGGGCTCAGTGATGTGCTCTGACGAGGACGTCTGCTGTCCTCTGCCACGTCTTGGAAATGCACGTGGCGAATGTAAGGGCTACAGTGCACGCGATTGTCACACACACATCTCGTTGGCTGACACCAAGCCACACACGTTCACATTGCTGTGCTACTTTAAAGAAACCACAATTCTGTGAAGAATTTACTTGAAATCAGTGCATGTGCTAAATCTTCACTTTATTCTGCCTTCAAGTTTCCATTTAAGACTCTCTGGGCTGCAGGCGCAACGCTTCTGAGGTTGCTGCTTACTGGGGTTCCCGGTGCCAAGTCTCTCGACTCCCAAATTAAATCTCCCTACTCAGTCAGCCAGACTATCAAAAGTTGTGTTTTTAAAGATTTTTACTGATTCTGAGGGGCGGGGGGAGAGGGAGAGCTGTGAGGGCGAGACGCCACGGGCTGCCCCCTGCGCAGGGTGGAGCCCGCGACCTGGGCACGCGCCCCGACAGCGACCGCGCCAGCTGCCTGCGTGCTCAGCGCGACATTCAACCAACTGAGCCAGGCCGGCCAGGGCGAGACTAACGAAAGTCTTAAATCTGAGCATTAGAAACGACCCTCACCTACCTGTTGTTAAGGATTTCCTACAAGGTCCAGCATGTGAAACGGAATCGAGTCCCTGGGAACAAGACACATCTGCACGTGCCCCGCGCTCTGGCAGGCGCTCGCGGAGGGGCCGGCAGCACCTGTCTGGGAAGCTGCCATCAGGCCGACGGCTCCTTCACCAGCACCGCGTGGACGCCGTCTGCACGCAGACAACGCACGTCCTTCTAGGACGGCTATTGCAGAGCAAGGCTTGAGCATAGAGACAGAGTAATAGAAAGGTCTCCGAGGTGAAAGAAAGTGTTTTAGGGCCTGTTTATAAATGACAACATCTTTGATCAACATGACGAACCATTGTGAGCCTTTCAACAGTCTAAACACAAACCTGTTGGAAGATCAACCAGCTGGAGTTCATTTCTCACTAATCCCATATTGTTTGGTGTTGAGGTAGCAAAAGAAAGAAAACCAGTCAAACTCGTCCATTCAATTCCCCTATAATGAGAAATTAAACAAAGGTTAATCTTAGTCCCTTTTCTAAGAACTAAACTATACAAGTTGATTAAGGAGTACTATTACATGGACTTTTATTTGAGACGACATTGCCACATATTTCACACACCTGAGGTCATTTCTATTTAAAACTGGCCCCAAATCACGACAAGACAGTTTAATTATCGGTATCCGTAGTGGCACTAAAATAACTGTAAATGTGGCAAAGGAGACAGTCACGCAGCTGCTCCTGAGAACCCCCCTGCTTGAGGACAGTGTACAGAAACACTCTCAGCAGACTGCTTCAAGCTGAGTACACGCAGGAATTTTATCAAATTTACCAAAATTCGTGGTCGGGAAGCAGATTCCTGGAGCAAACAACACAAACTGAGTCCTGAGATTTGGAAGTGGCTCAGAGGTTCAATGTTATCTCAGAGAAAAGCAGAAGAGAAAAATCTCAAAGAACAAGAACTAACGATGAGACAGTCACCCGTCAACCTAAGGCTCAGGGGGTCCGCCTGTGAGAGTGGTGGGATGTTGGGGTTCTGACACCTACAGTTTTCCAAGCCGGGCCTGCTGACCTCCGCTGGGGCGGCTACAGTCTCCTTCTCAACCCTGGGTGGCTAGGGAAGCACTCACTTCCTGAAAGGCCTTGAAATTCTAAGAGCATATAAAACTCCTGCAAATTTATCAACAGGCAACATAGAGATCATTTTACTTTCCACAAATCACATAATTTACTGAAAGCAATCAATGTTCTGATACTCAAATCACTGTGCGCGGAGAGTAACAACAGTGCCTACTGCAGACTTAAAGTGGAGGTTGGAGGTTCAACGAACGATGCGTGCAAAGTGCTGACGCTTAACACGCTCCTGGGAACACACGCTGGCGGAATGGAGAGTTCTGATTGGCGGGCACCACCAGAGGCAACACTGCACAAGGCCAGGTGAGAGGGGACGTCAGAGGGAAATGAGGGCGGGACGGGAAGAGAGAAGTCACCAGCAGGGACCCTTGGAAGACAAAAAGGAGGAGGCGCAGCCTGGGCCCCGCTGCCTCCAGAGCTCAGCATGTCTGAAGGACGACATGCTCCACGTGGACGCCCAGGGAGACACTGGAGGGCACAGCATGCGACAGGGATGAACTGTCACCCAGGCTGCACCACAAACAACACACCTGGAAGACCGAGGCCAGGTAAACCCTTCAGAAACGTCCAGCCCTAACAGCAGCTGTGGTACTAAAATGGTTAACCCTTGCCCGTTCAGAAAGTGCAATTACTCCGAATAACGTGTTCTTTAGGGTTCACTGCGGATTTCAGCACATGCACGTGACCTACACTTACACAATGCAGAGGACAGAAAATGGCCTTGCTCATACTTCGTTTGTTTTTGTTAATCCCCATCCGAGGATATACTTTCATTGATTTTTAGATAGAATGGGAGGGAGGGAGAGAAAGAGAAAGACAGAAACATCAATGTGAGAGAGACACTGATTGGTTGCTTCCCACATGTGCCCTGATCATCAAAAATACTGTTAAAAGATCATCGAAAATACTGGCAATTTAATAACTTTACACTACACATGTGTGACCACACGACCCAGCCTTGCTTGGGCATAACACAGACATCCAATCAGCAAATGAGGCTGTGGCAGGGAGGTGGGTGCACGTCACCAGGGAGCGAGAGGCACCCCTCTGCCCCCCCACTCCCCCGTCTGCACACTCACAGAACAGATCACATCTCAAAATTTTTAAATAAATGCTAGAACGTTTTGGTACTTTTCTGGTGGTGCTTAAACAAATAAATCAATGAGATTAATTATTACAATGACTTTATTCAAATTTTAAAAGCAGTCCCACTAGGGACCCTTGGAAATGAAGAGCAACTAAATCAGCCTGAACGCAACACGGTGATTAGCAAGGAAGCAGCCTGAGCCTTAGGGGGACATTAAGATGCAGCAATAAAAGTGAGAAAAAGTCCCCACTGCCTAACACCCTTCACAAAAAGACACAGTGCGCACCCCCTTGGTGAGCACCCCCCTTGGTGAGCACCCCTTGGTGAGCACCCCCTTGGGGAGCACCCCCTTGGGGAGCACCCCTTGGGGAGCACCCCTTGGTGAGCACAGCCATCAATCGGACATGAGTATCTACTACTCGAAGTTCAGTCAGACATCACGCCGTGAGCAGAGCGCACAGGAGTCTAGAACTCTCGCTGGCGTCTGTCTGGGACGTCAGTGACCGTGACCCACTCACCTGACTTCACACGAGTGGACGCTCAGCTCCTTGTGCAGCAGCCCGCTGGTGAGGTGGTACACCAGGACCGAGCCATTCCCTGTGCCTGTGAGGAGAGGCAGAGAGGTTCATCTGCGGAGCTCCAGGGCTCCCCACACACCTTTCCTCCAGGTCCGTCATCTCCCGTCGTTCACCCCTACAGAAGCACCAAAGCAACGCACAGGAGGACTGAAATCCTCTGCTTCCCTCTTATCAAAAACAGACCTAATCTCACATGCTCTGAAACGGTACCCAAGTCAGAAGACAGACTTCACAGAAAGCTTTCAAAACTCAACACACACCAACTTTGAAGAAGCACTTTCCTATGCTTTCTAACCCCTGACAGCTGGTGCTTTCGAAATGTGGGGTGTTCACTATAGCCAGTCTTCAAAAAGGACTCCAGGTAGAACCCACTGACCAGGTTTTTCTATTTTTCTATACAAAGATTTTGTTATTTTGTCACTTATTTATTTATTTTAAATCCTCACCCAAGGATATTTTTCCACTTATCTTCAGATAGAGTGGGAGAGAGGGAGGGCAAAAGGGAGGGGAAGAAGGGAGAGAGAAAGAGAAACACTGATGTGAGAGAGACACATCAACTGGTTGCCTCCCGCACACCCAACCAGGGCTGGGGACAGAACTACAACTGAGGTACATGCTCTTGATGGGAACTGAGCCCGCGACTCTTTGGTCCACAGGCTGACGCTCTAACCGCTGAGCCAAACCAGCCAGGGCTTTATTTTGCCATTTAAATAAGTCACAGAGCAACGGTGCAGGCTGACAGCTACCTGTGGATTCTCAGAAGCAGCAGCCCAGTCCAAACCCTGCCCAGCACCCACCTGCCCACACCACACCTGTGTTTGTGCCCCTGTGACCCACCTCCCGTTTGCCCCAAGAACACTCTCAGATTCCAGTCCTAACCTTACTCCCAAAGTCTGCTACTGATTATCATACACACTTCTGTTACGTTAGGATGAGAGACAAGTTCTGTTTAGAAATAACTCCAAGAACAATTTTTATATTTTATTTTCACACTGAAACCAGTCAGATCTGCTTCAGCCTCAAAGAGCATTTATGTGAAAGTGAACTAATGCTGACACGAGCTGCGCTTTCTTCCTAAATGGGAACGAGGTTAGCACGGGGGACAGGAAACCCGCTTGCTAGGGAGTGAGCGAGAACACGCACTGAGACACTCGGGACAGCACAGACGTGTGAGACGCTCAGCACAGCCTGACACGGGTTAGCACGTGGTTATCACTACCTCTATTATCAGTGTGATTATGGTCTGTAGTTACCATTTGGCCTAAAGCTCAGAATCTCAGGTGGTGTCTAGAATTCCATCAGAAGGGACCAGCCATCCTTGAAAAAGTCAGGTTCCAGCCCTCAACTGTCCTGAGTGAGGCGGGGAGCAAACAGCGCGTGGCCAGGCGGGGGCTCTGCGGCTCGGCTCGCAGGGGTGGTGAGCCCACAAGGCGATGGGGGCGGCACGGCTCGCAGGGGTGGTGAGCCCACAAGGCGATGGGGGGGCGGCAGAACAGAGGGGCCGTGGCAGACAAGTAAAATGGTGGGCACACTCCAGGTTTAGCTTGCTTGCCGAATAAAGCTTCAGAAATGTTTGTGAAACTGTTCTAGAAAAGCATGGTTTTATCCTTGTCCCCATTTGTCATCTTTGCCACTATGATTCTTTCTAGTGCTGAGAAAATATCTAAAGTTACTGAAACTTTTCCGATAACTGATCTTCACAATAATCAATACTGTCTACATTCTGCAAGTGTTGCTAATGTTGAGCCCACGACCTAACACTCAAGGGCACCCCAAGGAGCAGCAACCCCACAGCCAAACTCCGCTTCGCGTCCCTGCCCCTTGGCAAACACGCGGCCCTCAGTCTCCATCCCTTTCCTCTGGCCTCACGGAGTCCGTGGCCTGATGTCCCTGCGCAGCAGTGCAGCTCACTCAACAGAGACCTCAGACGCAAACTCAGCTGTTACCTAGCTATCCCAGGAAACACTTTTCTCCAAGAAACTGACGAAGCCCTGTCTGACCAAGCACACTGACCTGTGCGCACACGGTGTACTGAAAACTCCTAACTGAAATCTCTGTAAGAAGTTTAATATAAATCAGTAGATTCTAAAGCAAAAATTAAGCACTGATCTGCATTTATATAAATCTGGGCATATGTACACATGGACTATTGAACCTTAAAATTCAAATCGCTTTCAGATGATCGCGATGAAATGGGAAAGGAACACCGACCGCCAAGCAATAAGTTCAAACGAGCTCTTAGTGCTCACCAGTCAGCCATTAGCCAACTCACGAGCATGACTCAGACGAACCAGCAAAGAAGCAAATGTGGTCAGGTTTTCATTTTAGGGGGAAAAAATCATAAATCACATGTTTATAGACCCCAGGAGAAAGTCAGAAGCCAACAAAAAGTATCTTTAAAAAAAATTTTACTCAGCCTCTTCCTCTTTATTCTCAAAGATAAAAAAGGATGTTCTAGTAATTAGCCAAGTTAAGTCTAATAAAATGCAAAACATGCACAAAGAACAAACACATAACGCAGGTCCACGCCTGGCCACTGAGGCTCGGCAGGCGGAGCGTCGCCCTGAGCACGGGACCGGCTGCCGGCCTGACTCCCGGTCAGGCACATGCCCCGGCTGGGCTCCATCCCGTGCAGGAGGGAGCCGACCGGATGTTTTGCTCTCACACAGATGTCTCTTTTTCCCTCTCCCTTCCTCTTTATCTAAAAATCAGTAAAAACAAAAATCTTTAAGAAAAACACAAACAGCCCTGGCCAGTTTGGCTCAGTGGTTGGAGCGTCAGCCTGCGGTCCGGAGAGACCCGGGTTCGGTTCCTGCTAAGGGCGTGTACCTTGGTTGCAGTTTGTCCCCAGCCCTGGTTGGTCGTGTGGGTGGCAGCCACTCGATGTGTCCCTTTCACATCGATGTTTCTCCTTCTCTCTCTTCCTCTCTCTCCCTCCCACTGGAGGAAAAATGGAAAAATGTCCTCGGGTGAGGATAAAAAAAAAGAAAAACACAAACAGGACCAATACTCACCGACAGCAAGCAGTGGCTGATATATCTTGATGTTTTTTGTGGTCAGCGGTGGACACATGCGGACAGTGAGCTGGGGCGAGGGCAGACCTGAAAGCAGCCCTGTGAGCAGGAATTTGAGGTACACTTCCTGCAGAACGGAGCCTTCGGGATGTTCTTCCCCAGCAACTGCGCTCTGCGCTGATTGGGGATCAAAAATACCAACACATTAATTACAACATATGCTGATCTTCAAAATCTGAAAAGACTCAGTGGAAATACTTCTCAGGTCTAGAAGCTGTCATGCGGCAGCCAGGGGCTGTGGCTACACAAGGGTCTGCACTTGGCTATGGGGCTTCTTGTACTGTCTGACATCTTGACAGACAGTGACTCCAGCGCACTGCTGTCCAGAACTGCTAAGATACGTCGCTAAGATACTTGCTACGATACACTGTTTCAGTGAAAGGTCCTGGTATCAGGCACCAGAAGCAAATCGAGAAGGCTGGGTGAGAGAGGGCAGTCTCCGTGCAGGGAGATGCCACAACCCTTTCTAAAGGGCTACTTCCGATCGCTGACTCTGTGAAGCACATCTAGAATTAGTCATCACAAACAACAGGTTCCAGAATGCATTTAGATGTCTCACAAGACATCTTACAGAATTTAAGTGTGAACTAAATGTTACATGTAAATATGTAAAATAATATGTATTACACATAACCTGTAACTGTCGAGAGTTCAGCATTAACTTTCAGACATAACATCCACACTTGGGTTATCGAGTCTCAAACTAAAAAGGTGACTCCAATAAAATCAAATGTGACAAAATGTTGCTATGAAGAGCACAGCAAAATCAACTCCGTTTCCTAACAGGGCTTACAGCTTGTCTTCCTGTGAACCACCGCCGACTTCTACATAAAATTGCCAAAACTACACAACACCGAACACGTGTGCGTGTATATATATGCACACACATACACCAGGAAAAGGAAAAACATAAACAATTACTAGGAGTGGGTGACAGGACTCTAAATACAATCTTTTGAAGCTATAAAGTTGTTTTAATAATAAAGTTATTCTAAAATCCGTAAGACATACAGAAAGAAAGGGCCATCAAGTTAACGCAGGTTATATGTAATACATATATGTAATACATAACCCCTCAGGCTCAGTCCTACACTTGAGATCCATCTTTGCTTACGAAAGATGGGGTCTAAAGGAACAGTCAGTCCAACAGGCAGGCACATGTCACCACCCTCAGTGCCTCGGAGCCGGCTCCGCAGAGCTGCCCTTTCTGCTCAAGCGTCTCCCACGAGGAGCTCACCAGGCAGGGAGGATCCGGCCAGAATACGCAGCAGCCTGTACCCAACGGCTATAGATCAGGCCTCTGTATTCAACTGAATTACTTCCAATTACCACTAACTACACAGTGAATTTCAAATTTAAAGTTTTAATAAAAATGTTTTCAAGTAACAAAGCTTTATTTGTTTAATACTTTTAAATCAACTACATTGTTGAGAATTATTATACAATCTATATCCTTTTGTCTCTTGGAAATATAAGTTATATCAGTTAGGTACCTAAACAGCATGAAATTTCAATGTCTTTCATATTACTGACTAGTTCTGGGCATATGTGTGTTTCTAATTCTTTTCAATTTAACATTTTTATCAAGTGTAAACAAGGTCAATTAACTCAGAAAATTGTGTTACCAACTAAATGCATCTTGCAAAACAAGTATGTGTCTGAACTTCCTTACATGGATTTATGTCTAAAAGATAAAGAATTTAAAATATACAAGTTAGTGTCATTGAGCAAAAGGGTTTTACAACTAACAGGAATCAGGAAAACCAAAGCCTGGAGAGGTCAGGTCTCGCTCAAGATCACAGGGGAGCAGCCCAGTCTGGAGCCACGGCCAAGGGGCAGGCTCCGGGGCGGGGTGAGAGGTTCACACTTGGCTCCTCTGCTCACTGGCCGTGTGGTTTTAAGCAACTCTTTTAAATCTCTCTGGCTTGTTTCCACAGACATACAATGGAAACGGCACTGCCCACCTTCGAGAGCATCTAGCTCAGCGCCTGGCATAGTGGTAAGCACCCAGTGAACGTCTCTGCTTAAAGTCAGAGGGGGGCACTCCGTCTTGTGTACCATCTCCAAGCATCTGAACATAAGCACCTATGCAAATGCCGTAGATTTTCCATTGCATGTGGAAGAACAAGTAATGACACAGAAACCCTTTGTAACCACAACCACAATTTTAAAAGAATTAGACATCAAACTGCTTGGCATATCTATCACTTCCAGTTGTATAATATTTGAAATCATAAATCTTTATTCTTCGTTTAATATATACTGGCCCTGTAAGTTGGAAGCAATATTTTATCTGCAAATAAATGTTTGTTGAAAGTAAGAATCACCAATGTGTAAACAAGACAATGCATGTCAAAAAGTTAAAACAATTTTTCCAATAACTTCTCACAGCTCCTCGTCCCTCCATAAATACCGCATTCTCTGTGAGGCCCTGGCTCTCCACGTTTTCGTTTTCTCGAGCATTAACTTTGACTTCATAATAATTGCAAATCGGTGACTCTATTGCTTTTGCCCTTTGAAAAGAATCCCTAACATAAAGTCAGAGAAAAAACAAAAGCTCACCAATCATGTTGTCCAGGGAGAGGTCCGGGAGCTTACTCTGCAGCACGCCCACGGGAACCCCACAGAAAGACACTGGTGAGTAGAGAGGCGACAGGCCAGAGCTGCTGCGGAGACACGACAACTAGATGGTTTTCACACTCTCACAACCTGACTCACTGACAGTAACTGACAAGTCGTAAGTTCAGATCGTGGCGTTCCGTTTCTCTTGCCTTAGATGAAATATCTCTATCAGGTTTACATACTTCCCTGATGACCTGAAGTCTTAATTATCACTTCAAAATATGTTTAATATTTTTTAAAGTCCCTGTTATCTTTATATGATTCTGATAATTTTTTTAAGAGGAAACAGAAAACAAAGAAACACCCCTACTGATTCATGTACCTATTCCGTGAGCTTCGATGACAAGCGGCAGACTTCAGTTCCCATATCATGACCCTGCCGTCGCTCACTATGAGGGCCGCTGCGTTCTCGTTGACCGGGCAGCATGCCATGCAGAAGGGCCGGACCGTCTTGGTCACCCTGATGGCGTCACACTGGCTCCGTAAGTCATAGGTCAGCTCCTGCACAGGGTCTGGGTCTGAACACAACACCATTTTCTTTTAAATATCAGAAAGTAGCCACCTCAATATTATTCTTTTAATTGAGATAAAACCTCAACTGGAAAGGTCATCAGTCCTTCCCTAATAAAAAAGTCTGTCAAGAATGGTTTCCCTTTCTACAAGTATTACTAATTTCTTCAAAATATAAATGCTGTCTATACCAACTTTAATATCCAAAATAATTATAATCAAGACATCTTGTTTTTTAATATTTCAAAAATAAAGAAAATGCATTAACAGTGATATACGATCACATAATGAACAGTGCATCATCATTTACAGTGGTCTACAATAAGCCTGAAGATAACTGTACTTTACGAAAGATGTTAGTCCCTTTCAACTCTCGGTAGCACGTCATCTCATGGGACATCCTCTGTCCTGCAGGACAAGGCTGGACCCACACCCAGATGACTGCAGCTCTGCACCCGCCACCTCCCAGGGGAAGCCCCGCAGAGACGGGCACCCGCCACCTCCCAGGGGGAGCCCCGCAGAGACGGGCACCCGTCACCTCCCAGGGGGAGCCCCACAGAGACGGGCACCCGTCACCTCCCAGGGGGAGCCCCACAGAGACGGGCACCCGTCACCTCCCAGGGGGAGCCCCACAGAGGCAGGCACGGGCTGTTAGGGCGCGCAAGTGGGCTGTGCCGAAGGAGAATTACAAAAGACAGTATCCACTTATCCCTGCAGACAGTCAGAAGGAAGGACAGATGAGACTTTTGTTGTCGTGTAGAAGGCACTGACAATTCGGGAGATGGTTCTCGGGCTTGTATGGTGCCCCACATCATAACCATATTCTCCATTTTCAAGGGCAGGATTATCATAAACTCTTAAGATCTGGTATTAGTTCTATGAAATGATTCTGATGAGACAGACGCTCACCTGGTTCCTCGTGTGACGTGGTGGGAACACTGCTGTAAGACCTTCGAACACGCAACGTGATACAGCCGTTCTCATGTAGGCAGAACAAACCATCACGTTGAGAGCAGGGTATTACCTTTAAAGAGATGATTCATTTATTTTTAAAAACACAGATTTGAGAGTATATACTGTGAAACTCATAAGCTCATATTTAGAGAATCTGAGCAAAAAAAACAAAAAACACAAAAATATACCACATAATTCCTAAGTTTTAAAACTAAATCAACACTTAAAAATCCACTTATAGTCATAAAAAATTGTGCCTTTATCAATGTAACTTAAATAGTTCAGTAAATATCTCCAGATAGGTCAGAAGAATGTCTAGGGTCCATCAAGCCAATAAGAAGTGTAAAAGAGCAAGAAGTGTGAAGTGGCACTGTCGACGTTTAATAACCAGGAGAGTCGAACGGAGGACTTGTGCAAGGTTCTAGCTTCTCTCCAGGTGCCACGCGTCATGGCCTCCGGGTGTATTTACGAGCTGTTCGTACCTGCAGAAACGGAACCCCCGTCCGCTCTATGGCGACCACACCCACGGTCTGGTTCACCTCCAGGTCGAGGATCAGAACCTCCCGAGGGTACAGCAAGAGCATGTGGCCCCTTCTGGACGGCAGGTAGGCCAGCTGCAGGCAGTCGCTGAGGGCTACGAACTCGGCACTGAAAACAGCAGACACTCGCTTTAGGCGCTGAGAAATGAGTCAAGATTTCACTCATATCGGAAAAACCTAATAAAGAATCGAATTTTGTACTTTCCACATAAAAACTGTCAGTGAGAATGTACAACTGTTTATAAAACGACCAACAGTTTAAGTATCTGAAACTTAACCCTCCACTACACGCCCAAATCCAAATCATGACAGCAGTGTACAGCTGAGATGTGCGTCTACATTTTTGAAAAATTAAAGTATGAAGAGCAAGTCTATGATGTAAGATGATGTAAGTCTATGATCACTAGGCATTCATAAGAGAGTCGTTATATTTTTATTTTGCACTTGGAAGTACTAGACAGATTGCTAAACTCAACACTCCGGACTGAAAACACACCAGGAGCCGGCCGGCTGCTGCACGGCCCTGACGAGTCACGTCCTCTGCTGTTTTCACGCCTTGTAAACTGCCTGAAATCCTTTTTGAAAAAAAAATAGGGTGATGTAGTTACGTAGCAGAGCATTTTCTTCTGTGTAGATAAAATATAGAAAACTATATGAGGATTGTAAAAGACTGTTAAGGAGTCTCAAAAATCATTTTAGTAACTGTAAGCATTGCATACATTTAATCATAACCTTTTTGTAATAAATATAATTCAATAGACATACAGTCATGTTCTATTTTTTACACAATAATATTGTTGAAAGGTCTGACGTTTAACATGAAGTCAGAACAGAGGACTGGAGACTGGGGTGAGGCTGCACCGAAGTCCTGGCTCTGCCACACCCCGTGTCCGGGTGACGTTTGAAACGACATGAAACACAATTTCCTCATTTATAAAACGGGAACAGAACTGCTGCCCGGGGCTGTAGCAAGATTATATGTGACAATGTATGTGAGAACACCCGGAGCAGTTCTCTTTAAAGGCATTAATTTATTTCCCCAAAACTCAAGGTGAATGTATGACTCATATGAGAGAAAATGTACTTCTATAAATCGTAACTTATCAAACTACAAAATAATTATGAGACAGAATCAATGAAAAACAAAGAGTTCTCTAAATATATTTAAGAAGCAATCTTAAATTATTTTAGCACAGGGCGGAGGATAAATTAGTAAGCCTAACCAGCCTATGGTTTAATATATAAAAATATTTAGATATAAATTAAAAACGTATTTGTAGAGCAATTTGTATTTTATCATATATTTTTCAGGTAATCACCTACAAAGTCTGAGAGAATAATGTTAGCATATTAAAAGTAAAGGCTCTTTATAAATGCAAAAAAAATCCTACCAAAGCAATAAAAATATAAGAATAATCATGGCTCTAGAAAAAAGCCAGATACCTATTTCTGGTGCATAAAATTAGTTACTTAAAATTTTATTCAGTTCAATTTCTGGTATGAACAATATCTAGCATTTACCAAATGAATGCTTACTAAGTATCAGCCACTTGAGTTACTCTATCTATTCATCCTAACAGCACTTAAAACACGGCTTCAGAGACTGGGAGAGTGAGATCGGAGCGAGATCAAAGAATTCTGAGTCACTAGCAACAACTTCCCCTGGAATCCAGGCCCTCAACCAGCCTGAGAAACATCCTCACGTGCATGAGGAAAACACCCTTATTCCATGGCTGACGGGATCGCACAGCATTCAAGTCAGGAAAATGTGTTTAAAATAAAAATCCAGACTCTGTCCTCAGATTTCTAACACAGTCAATGGAAAGCAAGAACCAGAAATGTTACTCTGTAAGTCAGTGCAGGGAGTTCGGCACAATGAGTGGGAACAACGGAGCCGTGTTAAATGCTGAGTCTCCTCTTACGGGAGGAGACAGAATATTTCTCCTCTTATAAATTCAAAAGGGGAAATGAGAAAGGGTGAGATGAAAAAAAAAATCAATCTTAGTACATGTTCAAAACAGATTTTTACAAGAGCAGATGATGAACAGATGAGTGTTGGTCAGTTCACTTGTAACTTGCCTGGGTTTCTCCTGAGTGATCAGGATCCTGACTTTATTGAGAGCCTTCTTCGCCCCGGTGGCTGCGGCCAGCTTGCTGTGAGCGGGGCTGGAGTGCGGGCTGGATATGTAGACTTTCCTCCCAGGGCCCGCGGGAGGCTTGGACGGGGAGAAGTCCGAGATGAACACGATGCCCTCACTGGTGAGCACTACAGACAGAGGAGCAGCCACTGGTTAAAGTGTAATCAAGTTTTGCATAGTTTTTTCCAACAGAATTTGAGAGCAAGGTGATGATCATTTTAACAGTACAGAACTGGCAGTGTCACGCAGTCGTGACGTAATGGGGACGTTCTCCGAGACGGAGTGGACCGGTGGTATCACAGCTCATCGGAGGCCCCAAGCTCAGGCTCTCGACCAGTGCTTCATGCTCACGATGCAGAGGTTGCTGGCAGAAAGATGTCCGTTCTCCAGATAACTCAGTGCACACACTTTCATTAGTAACCTTCGCTCATCATATCCCATAGCTTCAAAATCCAAATACTTTTCCGAATATAAAATTCACAGAAGGAAAAAAGATCCCATATAGACATATATGGCTCTGTACATCGCAGTAGGCTAAGTTCAAATATTTGATCTGATGATACAAATGTTTTATGATCATCATGAGTTTATTCCATCTAAATAAATCTCCTTTTTCTTCCTGAGCATCAGTCGGACCTCAGGACATATACAGAGGGCTCTTTCCCTGTGGAGCTAGAGTCAAAGCCGGCTGCCGACTGCGCCCTACTATCTAACATGACCACCTACCTGCTCCCTCCCATCCCCCATTCTCCTTGGTTCCCTTTATCCTGTTCTACTTTTTACACCCCTGGTAACCCACAGCACACGAGACTTGACTAGCTCACTACGCTCCAAGTTCAGGACCTGACTCCCTCAGTAGTGGGATGCAGCAAACTGAATGAGGGCAGGAACCTCGTCTGCTTCGCTGATGTGTTCTGGGCCCCAGAATGTGCCTGACATGTAGTAATTGCTCAACACCCGTTAGATAATTGAATAAAATATTTTCAAAATAATTTAGTCATAAAAATATATGTCTAAAAACAAAGCTAAGTTTTAGATGAGCAGTTTAGTAAAGCATCACAAGCACAGTGGCAAAAACAACCTCTGCAGAAAAAAAATTCCCTTGGCTTACCCTGTTCCTTACAAGCGTCTGGTCATGGCCCTCAGAACACAAGGCACGGATTAGAATCAATTTTTAAAAACAGGAACTGAATTTGGCCAGATTAAATGAAACCCTTAGCTTAGGATCTTCAAATGTCCCGGAAAACAAATTTAATTCGGTCTGAGTTGGAAGAACACAGCAACTCCCTCCCTGGCTGATCTAATTCTGCTCAGGGAAGAATTCAACACAGTGAGGTCCAGCCTGCTGGTCCAACCTCCCAGCTCAGGGCACTTGCAGTGCTGGGCTGCGGCTCAGCTGTGTGGGAGCTGCGGGAGCTGAGCCAGCTCAGAGGGGCCCCTCCGCTTCGCCCCGTGGCTGTCACCATCACAGACACCTGACGGATACGTAGTGTTAACTCCGTATGACACCGCGACTGCCTCCCACAAGGAACTATTACTCACAAGTTAAATGTGAGGGATCAAAAGGGTCAAAAGAAAAAGAAAGGATGTTGTCCGCGTAGCTCTTCTTCCACAGCTTGGTGCCCGTGTCTGCGTTCCAGAGCACAATGTAGTTCGGCGGGTGGACAGCCAGCAGCAGATCTCGGGAAGCGTCTTGACTCCACAACCACTGAAGGTCTATGAAAACAGACACAGACAAAGCTCAGGGAGCATCCACCTTAAAGACACCTGGATAACATGTCCTTGATCTTTAGTTGTTTTTCCTCACATAATCTTCAAAATGTTTACTGTCCCTCTCCCTGCAATGTTACAGGTGTGTCAAGACTGCAGAGAAAAAGTTACTTTTATATAAAAATGAGCTGTGTGGACATTAGCATCTCAAAGTCAAAATGTGTAAATAATCTGAAACATTACTTCGAAGAAAATACAAGGCTATTTGCAGTAATCAGTACTGAAAATCGCATGTCACAGAATGTCACAGGCATGACCACTAATGTCACTCTCCTAATATTTTTGTGGAATTACTCAGTGGGACTTCGTAGTTTCATGTTTTTTCACAACAATAAACAGGATAAAGATCTAGTTCAGTACCTAGTACATAGTAAGCACTTAATAAATATTTTTTAACAGTCATTTAAAAAATTCACTCATTCAAAACAGCCAATCAGCCAAAGCCTTGAGTTCAAATACTTTGTGGGGTTTAGGTCAACAAATAAATAAGCAAACAAATGGTCTATATAAAAATGGAAATAGCCCTGGCCAGTTTGGCTCAGCAGTTAGAGCATCGGCCTGCGGAACAGAGAGACCCGGGTTCGGTGGCCTCTGAGGGCGTGAGCCTCGGTTGCGGTTTGTCCCCGGCCCTGGTTGGTCGTGCGGGTGGCAGCCACTGGATGTGTCCCTTTCACATTGATGTTTCTCTCTCTCTCCCTCCCACTCTATCTGAACAAAAAATGGAAGAATGTCCTCAGGTGAGAAGAAAAAAAAAAAAGGAAATAAAATTTTGATCCTCTCTATTAATGGAAAGGAAGCACTGACATAAAACAGCAGTTTGGCTAAGTTTACTTTTACTGTGGTTTAATTTACAAGAATGTTTATTGCAGCTTAGTTTTTTTTTCATCAGGCTTGACTGAGGCTGATGTTGAAATTCATGCACTTCACCAAAACTCAAATCAGCTGGGGTCTGAGGAAATGTGCCCAGAAGTATATCGATAAGGATTTTAAAAACCAGATTCAGATCAGTAGAATAGGCTAACACAATCAGGAGTTAACTGGGAAGTGATGCAATTAAATGAAAGGGAAAAAACCCCCTAAGAATAAGCGCATTAGCACAGACGGCAGAGCACAGACTTTCCTCACCCTGAATAGGTTTGGCGTGTTCTTGGATCTCACACTGAGCTATTCCTGCTGCTACATCCCAAACGATGATTTTTCCAGTGACATCAGCAGAAGCCAGGCGCAAGGAATATGGTGAACCAATGTTATGGTGATAATTTTCTCTGGCCCACTTAACCTAGTATCAAGAAAAAATAAATCGAGTAAATACTTGCACTGGATGAAATTCAACATAATTTTCATAAAATACCAACCTGAGGCCTGGCCATTGTGGCTCTGAGTTGGGCACCCGTCCCCCATACACCAAGAGGTTGAAGGTTTGATGATTCCCGGTCAGGGCACATGCCTGGGTTTCGGGCTCAATCCCCAGTAGGGGTGTGCATGAGGCAGCCCATTGATGTTTCTCTTTCATCGATGTTTCTCTCTCTCCCTCTCCCTTCCTCTCTCTAAAATCAATAAAAACATATCTAAAGAAAAATCAACCTAAACTTATACTACTATATTACAAAAACATTTAGAAAGAATAAATAGTAAACTGATTTCCATCTTGAAAGTTAGGCATCTAGTAAACTGATTTCCATCTTGAAAGTTAAGCATTTTCATCATTTATGATTTTTTAAAGTAGCAATTAAAATATTTTTGAAGCCCTGGCCGGTTTGGCTCAGCGGTGAGAGCGTCGGCCTGTGGTCCTGAGAGACCCGGGTTCGGTTCCCGCTAAGGGCGCGTACCTCGGTTGCAGTTTGTCCCCGGCCCTGGTCGGTTGTGCGGGTGGCAGCCACTCGATGTGTCCCTTTCACATCGATGTTTCTCTCTCTCTCTGTTCCTCTCTCCCCCTCCCACTCTACCTGAACAAAAAAAGGAAAAATGTCCTCAGGTGAGGATAAAAAAAAAAAAAAAAATATTTTTGAAAACATCACCACGATCCTGCCTTTAAAATATGAAAAAGTATGCACAGCCTTAATATCCTGAGAAATTCAGGTAAAAACTCAGAACACCAAATCATAAAATGGTGGTGATCACTGTATACCGTCTCATCGTTCTAATGGTCAAATGTCAGTCATAAAATCTAATTATCACAGAACATCTAAGTCCCGAACCGCTAACCAGAACGCTTCCTGCAGCCCATCCTCCAGTGACAGGGAGACCTTGAGTTGTGAAAACCTTGCAGAGAGAAAAACAAACCAAACAAAAACTCTGGCTGCCCTCTTCCATAAAACTGGAAAAATGTTAAGTTTCTCTAAAACAAAATGTACGCTTTATACCTCCAGCAACATCGTAAGAACAAAACTTTCAAAATAAAACCCATAAAAACTCCATTGCAAATCAGGTTCATCCTGAGCATCAAACACAGACAAGTCAGGAATAAACACAGTCCCCCGCCCAGGCCTCTCCTGGCAGAACCCCTCCTCCAGCTCAGCACCCTGCTGGCTTCCTCAGTCACCACACATCGACCTGCGATCGTCACCGACCCACGAGCCGTGACCTCCACAGGACAGGATCTAGCAGGCCTGGTTCACATCTCAGTTTCCAATTTTCTACTCTTTTGATGGTGTCCTATGAAGCACAAAAGTCTTAAATTTCCATGTAGTCCAATTTATCTATTTTTCTGTTGCTGTACTCAAGAAACCACTGCTTTCGCCACTGTCAAGAAGATTTGCACCTCTGTACATGTACATTTAGGTAAACTCCAAGCAGTGTATATATTTTAAAAATCACCTAGACACATCATAATCAAACTGCCGGAAACCAAGGATAAGAAGAAAGCCCTGAAGGCGGCAGATGAGTGAAGATACAGAGAAACAGAGACGAGAATTTCTCATCGGGAATTATGAAACCTGGAAGATATCGCAGTAATATCTTTAAAGTACTACAAGAAAAAAAAAAAAAAACCTGTGAAATATTTTCTCAGACAAATAAAAGCTGAGAGAATAACCAATATTTGATATATAACTCAAGAAATAAGGAAATTTTTTAGGCAAAGGGAATATAATACCAAACTGAAACTTGGATCTACACATTTGAAAACTCCAGAAATGCCAAACAGACAGAAGGGATGGATGGATGGAGGGAAAGAGGGAGAAAGAGAGATAGAAGATCTTTTTCTCAAGAAAAATCTGCACCTAACATCAGACTTAATGGGGAAAGACTGAATGCTTTCCTCCTACGCTCAGGAACAGGACAAGAATATCTTCTCACCACTCCAGTTCTCTGCAGTAGTGGTCCTAGACAATGCAATATGGCAAGAAAAAAAAAAAGAAGAAGACACAGATTATCAATGAAAAAATTAAATTGTCACCTACAGATCACGATTGTATGTGTAAAAATTCCCAAAACTACTAGATCTAATGAGTTTAACAAGATCACAGGATACCATCAATATACCAAAATCAACAGTATTTTTTCCCAGTTCTCATCATATACATACACACACACACACACACACACACACGTATATATAACCTCAAAATAGATCAGGAACCTAAATGTAAGAGCTAAAACTATAAAATTCCTAGAAGAAAACAAAGGTGTAAATCATCATAACATGGAAAAAGAAGTTTCTTGAATACAGAAAAAAAAGATAAAATAAACTGTATCAAAATAAAAAACTTTTGTGCTTCATAGGACATCATCAAAAAACTGAAAGACAATTCACAGAATGAAAGAAAATATTTTCCAACCAAATATCTAAATTTGTATCTAGAAAACAATTCTTAACAACTCAATAATAAAAAGATAATACAATTTAAAAGTGAACAAAGGACGGACAAGCTATTTCTAACAGATACACAAATGGCCCATAAGCACATGTAAAGATGCCCAACATCATTAGCTATCAGGAAAAGTAAACAGAACCAGGATGAGAACCACTGCGCAGCCACTAGAATGGCTACAATCAAAAGGACAGATAATAACAAGTGTTGGTGAGGATATGAACAAACTGGACTATTCATACCCAGCTAACTGGAATGTAAAATGGTGCAGCCTCTTTGGAAAGCAGTCTGTCAGTTCCTCAAAAATTAAACACAGTTACCATGAGTCAATAATTCTTTTCTTTTTCTTTTTTTTACCCTCACCCGAGGACATTTTTCCATTTTTTGTTCAGATAGAGTAGGAGGGAGAGGAAGAGAGAGAGAGAGAAACATGAAAGGGACACATCGAGTGGCTGCCACCCACACAATCCAACCAGGGCCAGGGACAAACTGCAACCAAGGTACACGCCCTTACCGAACCTGGGTCTCTCAGGACCACAGGTTGATGCTCTAACCGCTGAACCAAACCAGCCAGAGCCAATAATTCTTTTTACTAGGCATATACCCAAGGGAAATGAAAAAACAGGTTCACGCAAAAAATGTAAAGAAATGTGCATAACAGCTTTATTCATAATACCTAAAAAGTCCATCAATAAATAAGTGTAGTTTACCCATGAAGAGAAATATTCAACAGAAAGTAACAAAGTACTGACACATGAAACATGAAAACACCTTGAAAACATTGTGCTAAGTGAGAGCCGGGCACATACTGCACTATTTCATTTATATCTAATGTCCACAACAGGTGAATCTACAGGGTAGAAAACAGATCAGTGGTTGCCTTAGGGTAAAAGGGATGGGAAGTGGTGGGGGAGGGGTGACTACTCATGAGCACAGGGTTTCTCTCTGGAGTTAGGAGATCATGGTGATGGCTATACACCTCTGACTACACTAAAAACTATGGACTTCTGTGCTAACCGGGTGAACTGTATGGCAGGAATCCTCCGCTTCCTCCTACAAGTTCAGATCACTGTAATTCATTGTTCAGCTCAGGATGTGTGTGCTGAAAACTTAAACTCACTGACAACTTCACATACACTCAGCCTATCATTGCAACACTGTCATTCAGCTACTCAGAAACTTTGGAATCACTCTGTTCTCTGACTTTCCCTTAAAATTGATTGCCGTAAAGCTCTCAAGTTTACTTCTTCGGCAGCTCCTAAATAAGACTTTCATGCCTCGACTTTACTTTGGGCCCTTACAACTTCCTGCCAAAATTACTGCAAAAGCCTCCTACAGGACCTCACAGCCTTGCCTGCCCTTCCTCCAGCAGACCCCTCCCTGCTGCCAGAGGGAGCTCCTCTAAAATGCAAATATGATCGTATCAGTCTCCTACTCAAAAACCCAAATATTTTCGTAATCGTATGGAGCTTTCAGAGCGGGTGAATGTCTCTGGCTGCCTCCTCCATCACCCCTGCACGAGTATCCTGTCTTTTAGCCCCTGCACACTATTTACCTTTGTGTATATTCTTCCCCTTTCCTGTGCTGCTCCTCCCCCAATTTTCCATGTGGCTGCCTACAGCTTACCGGCCCCTAAGCGAAGACGCCTGTAGCGTCTCCAGATCCCTGCAGCAGGATCCTATGCGGCCCCTCTCTTCCCGCAGCGCCTCATACCGACGGCACTGCCGGGGGCTTTGCCGGCACTCTCCTTAGCACACACTCTGCTCAAACCAATGATGAGTGAAAGGTCCCGCACACGGCAGAACTGGTGACTTCCGTCAGCTTCGAAGTGACCTAAGAACTAGCATTTCACAGTTCATCCGGGATCGACATTAAGTCATAGGCATGGAAACACTGGATCAACCCCAAATACATTATCCTATTTTTTTTTTTTTTATCCTCACCCGAGGACATTTTTTGTTCAGGTAGAGTGGGAGGGAGAGAGAGGAAGAGAGAGAGAGAGAAACATCGACGTGAAAGGGACACATCGAGTGGCTGCCACCCGCACGACCGACCAGGGCCGGGGACAAACCGCAACCGAGGTACATGCCCTTAGCAGGAACTGAACCCGGGTCTCTCGGGACCGCAGGCCGATGCTCTAACCGCTGAGCCAAACCGGCCAGGGCCATTATCCTGTTTAAAAGCTATTCAACAGTTATACGTGTGACTGAAGGAGAGTCTAGTGATGTAACATTTAAAACCCGAGAGCAGGCAGTACGGCACAGGGCCAAAGCGGGCTCTGACTTACCTTGACCACATCAGCTTTATGCTTTTCTAAAACTTGAAGAGTTTGGGCAGTGCCGGAATCGATCACCACCACGAGCGAATGGCAGCCGTAGGCAATCAAACCTTGCCAGCCCCTAAGAAAACAGTGAGCACAAACTTTAGGTGAAACAAAGCCGGCGGCCTCTGGCCCACAGGCACCCTAAATAAATGACGGGTCCAGCCGACATGATTAGTAACCGATACGATTTTACTGCTGTTAGTAACAGCCGTCTCCGCGCCCAAAGGTCAGCAGGGGACACGATCTCATCTAAATCAAAGGCTTAGCTAAGCTGCTTGTTGAAATTCGGTTCTTCACTGGGACACAAAAGGCCGCGAGGGGTGCAGGGGGCCGGGAGCAAGTACAAAGCAGCCCCCGCCTCCTATGGTTCCAGGGGCCACCCTCGTCTCCCCCGGCCTCGGAGACACCCCGCGGCCCGCCCCAGGGCCGGCTGCGCCCGGTCCAGCCTCCGACCGCGGCGCCGCCGGTCAGAAGGGGGGGGGGGGGCGGGCGAGGACCGCCGAGAGGAGCTGCCGGAGGCCCGGGGCGCAGCGCGGAGAGCGGGGTGCAGGGCGGTGTTGGAGGGGGGGCGCGAAGGCAGACAGAGGCGACACAGGAGCGTCTCGGCGCCCTCGGCGGCCTCGCGCGGGGCAGCGGCGCCGCCTGGACGAGGCGAGCGGACGGCGGAGCCTCCCGGGGTCCCCCCCTCACGCCCAGGCGGGCCTGGCGCGGAGCCCGGCGCCCTCACCAGTCCACCGCCGCCTTGTTGTAGGCGCTGAGGGCCCCGGTGAGGGTCCGGGACGACACCTTGAAGTTCACGGTCAGCGGCAACATCGCTGCGGCGGACCTGCGCTCCCGGCCGACGGCGAGCGGAAGCGGCGGCCACTGCACTTCCGGCCCCAATAGCGTCCGGGCGGCTCCGCGGGCAGCGCAGTTTGGTTCCGCCGCTCCTGGATTTCCCTGACCTTGTCCGGCCACTCCGGGTTCCGCCTGCCCCAGGGTTCTTCCTGCCCCGGGGTTCCTCCTGCTTCAGGGTTCCGCCTGCCTAGGGGTGCTGCCTGGTCCGGGTCCCGCAGCCCCGGGGGTCCCGCCTGGCTCGGGGTCCCGCAGCCCCGGGGTCCCGCAGCCCCGAGGTCCCGCAGCCCCGGGGTCTCGCCTGGCCCGGGTCCCGCAGCCCCGGGGTCCCGCCTGGCTCGGGGTCCCGCAGCCCGGGGGTCCCGCCTGGCTCGGGGTCCCACAGCCCCGGGGTCCCGTCTGGCTCGGGGTCCCGCCTGGCTCGGGGTCCCGCCTGGCTCGGGGGTCCCGCCTGGCTCGGGGTCCCACAGCCCCGGGGTCCCGCCTGGCTCGGGGTCCCGCAGCCCGGGGGTCCCGCCTGGCTCGGGGTCCCGCAGCCCGGGGGTCCCGCCTGGCTCGGGGTCCCACAGCCCCGGGGTCCCGCCTGGCTCGGGGTCCCGCAGCCCGGGGGTCCCGCCTGGCTCGGGGTCCCGCAGCCCGGGGGTCCCGCCTGGCTCGGGGTCCCGCAGCCCGGGGGTCCCGCCTGGCTCGGGGTCCCGCAGCCCCGGGGTCCCGCCTGGCCCGGGTCCCGCAGCCCCGGGGTCCCGCCTGGCTCGGGGTCCCGCAGCCCCGGGGTCCCGCCTGGCCCGGGTCCCGCAGCCCCGGGGTCCCGCCTGGCCCGGGTCCCGCAGCCCCGGGGTCCGCTGCTGCGCAGAGGCCGGGCCGTGGCGCCGCGGGGCCCTCCCGCCGTGTCTGCTCTGCAGCCGGTGCGGCCCAGGCCTCGTGCTGCGCAGTCGCGAGGGGAAGAGCTGCAAGTCGGGGAGCCCGTCCGAGGGCTCAGTCCGCCCGCAGGTCGCTTCCAGTCCGTGAATGAGGGACGTGGGGTGACCCCGGGGCGCCAGTCAGAGGAGTGGCTCGCAGACCGCGTTTCCGGGGTGTGGAACACGCACCTCGGGCTGGAAACACCGGAGACGCCGGGTCGTCCCTGAGGCCCGCGGGGCCCCCAAGGGAACAGTGCCCGGAGCAGACCCCATCGCTCCCTCCCCGATTTCTGCAGGGGTCAGCTTCTCCCCGACATGTTCCGCTCCCCGGTCAACCAAAGGGACACCATGCGGCCAGGTCTTTGCGTCACCCCGTCCCTCTTGCAGATCAGCCGTCTCGAAGGCCACCCTCAATGTCCCCTCAGTTAAAGCCGATGGACGTGGTTGGCTCTTGGTTGTCCTCTGCCCCTGCCCGACTCTCCCTGGACCACCCCCTTCCCTAGCACGCTGTGGGGGTCACCGAGATGCCCTAACCACAGACCTGAAGTTGCCACTCCCGTGTTAAGAATCGTTGATGCCTCTGTGACAGGTGGCTGATCGGCCCCCAAGATGTAAGTGGGAGTAAGCGGTGAACTCCGGGAATCACTCTTGTGACATGTGTGCACCCCACATATTATCTGAGGATATGTCTGTCTGGCAGGGGAGACGAACACATGTTTAGGCAACTGTAATATAGGAGAATAAATACTGTGGGAGGCTTAGAATTCTTGGGGGGGGGCAATCTTTCTTTCTCCCCAACATCTGGCACCCTTTCTGGTCCTCAGTAAATGGTGGATGGTGTAGGAGTTTTAAATGGCCACAAGCATAAGGTCAAGCAGCCACGAGGTGACAATGGGGAGTCCGTGCAGGAGCTGGAAGAAGCAGAGGGCAGCTGGCAGCCCTCTTGGAGGAAGAGGGGTTAGTTCGTTTAAATCAGTAAGCCACCTTGAGGACACGAATGTTTGATATTCACGGCCAGGACGGATGACTAGTTGGGGTTGAGTCAGACGTATGTCTCCCATGGTACAGGAGTGTGAATTAAGTGTGTGAATGGTTTTTATGATCTTGTCTGAAGCATCGTGTTGGCCAGTATGGAACACCATGGACAACTGCCGTCTTTAATAGGAAAGAAACCGTTCTCTTCTATGTGTGAATAACTAGCATCCCACCCCATGTCCAATGACGTCCACCTCAAAGCCTGTCACATGGGCTCGGAGCATCCTTCCCCTGATACATCATTTGCATCCTTAAACTAGGACAACGTCCTCTTTCTTTTACAGGTAGTGAGATAAGAGTATATGGTGACATATCTGATTCCTGTTCTTCTTAAGAATGGGAAGCAGAGGAAGGGCATGAAGACAAAAATACTGTATTACTGAATCAATGACTCCATAAGTAAACTTTCGATGCCGCATCAGAGAGAACACAGGCACGCACGTCTGAGCAGGGATGGAGGTGCTGAAGATGAAGGTGGTGAAGTCAGTGACCTCCTGTGAGCACTCTGAGCAGAGCAGTCACACTGAAACGGGTTCGTCCCGAGTAGGGCATGTGAAGGGTGTGCCTCTCTTACACCTTTGTGTCCAGAGCGGCAGCAGGAGCGGCTGGAATGCTGAGGGCTTTGCGGTTGGACAGACGGACAGGCAAGAGTCCTGCCTCACTCTGCCACCCCAGCTCTGTGACTCTGGGCAAATTTGGGGAATAAAAATATTGTGACTCTGGGCAAATATTTGGGGAATAAAAATATTGCGCTTAAGAGTCACCAATGTCATGGTTGTCCTGGGTATTAAGGAGCAGGGCCGCGTCAGCCCCCTCACCTCTCGGTCACCCACTGTGCTCCTGTCTGTCTCCCGGGTGGCCCACACCACCGACCTGCCGGCGTATCTCACTCCTGGGGCCACTTAGCTTCGTCCGCGTGTGCTTATCCAGCTATTGGCTGTTTTTCAAGGAAGAATAAACTAGAGGACTTTCTTATGTGATTTCTCCCTCGGAATTTTTTTAATCCCAATAAACAGTGTCTTAACATTGTACTCATGGGTAGCACGTCCCGTTAGATTAACCTAACCAGGTTGCGTTGGGTACGTGACCACGATGTCTTAGGGAAAATCATGATTCTATTTATTGCTCCTCTTACCAAGCTTGGACTTTGGTGGAAATAGGTTGTGAGATAGTCCATCAGGTTTAAGAATTCCATTGTCTGGACTTCCACAGAATCGTCCAGTTGTGGTGATTAAAAATAAATGCCACGCCCTGGCCAGTTTGGCTCAGCAGTTAGAGCTTCAGCCTGCGCACCAAAGAGTCTCGGGTTCAGTTCGAGGCATGGACCTTGGTTATGGTTTGTCCCTGGCCCTGGTCGGGGTCCTGCAGGAGGCAACCAATCAATGTGTTTCTCTCACGTTGATATCTCTCTCTCTCTCTCTGTCTCTCTCTCTCTTCCCCACTCTATGTGAAGATAAATGGGGGCGGGGGGAGAGTATCCTTGGGAGAGGATTTAAAAAATAAGTAAGTCCAGCCCTGGCCGGTTTGGCTCAGCGGTTAGAGCGTCGGCCTGCGGTCCGGAGAGACCTGGGTTCGGTTCCCGCTAAGGGCACGTACTTCGGTTGCAGTTTGTCCCCAGCCCTGGTTGGTTGTGCGGGTGGCAGCCACTCGATGTGTCCCTTTCACGTCAATGTTTCTCTCTCTCGCTCTCTCTTCCTCTCTCCCTCCCACTCTATCTGTACAAAAAGTGGAAAAAATGTCCTCAGGTAAGGATTAAAAAAAAATAATAATAATAATAATAAAATAAGTAAGTCCAGCCAGTGTGGCTCAGTGGTTGAGCGTCAACCCTGCACCAAGAAGTTGCCAGTTCGATTCTCCGTCAGGGCACATGCTCAGGTTGTGGCCCAATCCCCAGTGGGGGTCATGCAGGAGGCAGTCAATCGATGTTCTCTCTCATCGATGTTTCTATCTCTCTCTCCCTCTCCCTTTCTCTCTAAAATCAATAAAGGAAAAAAAATATTAAAAAAAAAAAAAACCACTAAAAAATAAATAAATAAAGACCAATAGCCACTGTTACTCTGCATCTCTGGGAGTCATACTTGTGTTTCTTCCCAGGACAGGTGACCGACTGTTGCTGAAGACATAATTCAAGACGACTGATGTAACTCAGACCTTCTCTATAACAAGCCTGCATGTGGACAGACTGAGTCCAGGGGCCTGGACTCCAGCCTGAGACGCTGCGGGGAGCTCCCAGGCCCTGACCTGTTGCAGGTACACGCTTCGGGACCGTCACTTTCCACTCTTTCGCAATATAAAGAACAATATAAGAACTTAAAATATGCATACATACCCTTCATTTCTAATGTATTTATACTTGTATTTACACCTTTCTCCTAGTTCTTGCAAATGAAGACATATTTTATATAGTTGCATCACACACATGCATTTTGTGCATTTTTTTCTTGACCTTTCTATCATAACCATATTTATAATATTTATATAGTTATCATAATTATTTGAATGATTTCACAATATTTGGTAGAGTGCATATACAATAAGTTATTTAGTTTCCACTGTTGCCTGATATTTAAGTTAATTATATTTTTTTAAAATAACGAAGATAAAGCCACAGTAAATATTATGCTTATAGTTGGTTTTAATTTTATTAAGTTATTTCTTAAAAACAATTCACAGGAGTGAGTATAATTATCTTTTTTACTATTTAAAATTTTAATTACAAAATAAATAAATGCTCATTGCAGAAAATGTGGAAGTTTCAGAAAAGCATAAATACAAAAAAATGAATTATATGATCCCCGGCAAGGTTGGCTTCTTTTAAATAACTATCTTCCTCTTAAAAATGTATCTATTTTTTTTATAAACTGAGGTCACACTTTAAGAATTATTGTTACTCTCCCTGGCTGGTTTGGTTCAGTGGTTAGAGTGTCGGCCTGCGGTCCAGAGAGACCTGGGTTCGGTTCCCGCTAAGGGCATGTACCTTGGTTGCAGTTTGTCCCCGGCCCTGGTTGGGTTGTGTGGGTGGCAACCACTCAGTGTGTCCCTTTCACGTCGATGTTTCTCTCTCTCTCTCTCT